GCAAAGATGATTACAGCCTCGCGCAAGGTGTCCGGCGATCCGACGTTTTCTCACGCACTTCCGCCCTTCCTTCGCTCGCAGATACTACCTTCTTACTTCGCCCAGCGCCTGCTCGTTCGAGATACGCTCTCTACCATCGATCCCCTAAAATTTCACACGCTCTTTCTTCCGATTCTCAACACCGAGTTCGATCTTGTAATTCGACGCGTGTCGATTACTTTTAAGGGCTTGTATTTAAAATATGAACGCTTTCGCGAGAGTATTAGAGAGCGATATTAGATGGTTATAGGGAACTTTGAGCAGGTTTCGAAGACAAAGATTCGAGGCAGGTGAACGAAACGAGAGTAATGCGAGCGATTAGTAAGAATTAGTCTTCTACTCGTCCCGGTTAAATGATTTTCGCGAGCTACCAGCCTCGACTCCGCGCTTTCGAGAATGCTAAAGTAATCTCGAATCACCGGCGATAGAAGAGCGCTTTCTGGATAGATATCATTTAAACAATCGCGTAAAACGAATGAAATTCCACGGGACCTCGCGACCAGTTCTTGCCGCTTTTTCCGACCGCAACGCGACGCTTTTATCCCGTTCGTAACTTATACCGTCGTTTCTTGCCTGGTTCGATGATATTTTCGCCAAAAAGTTCGTTCAACTTTTGCGATATTTTCGTTTGCGCAAACAACGTTTCTCGTCGAAGGAACACTATATTTAACGAAAGGTCGTTGGATCGAAAACGGAAATACGGTTGGTCGTCCACAGTCCGTGAACCGTTCTTCCCCGACAAGACGAGAGCGAGTCGGCGATCGTTTCTACGCGTTACGGATAATGACGGTATTCGGACTCACCGTTGGATTCCGCGGCACGTAATTCCTCGTGGAACAACCCAGGATGATCGTACGTAGGAAAATTTTTAATTACGAGCATTTCGGCCATTGTAGTTGGCCCAGGGGTGGCATAGCGTGCAAGGGGGTCGTCCGAAAGGGGGCATAGTCGGTTTTGAGAGGGTGTGAGTCGAGTGTAGAGACAATAGTAGGCGGACAAAAGCGTGATATACGGCGACCTCCGGGGCAGTGGTATTAAAATCATATTTTTAAGCTCTCCATCCTACACCCTCCCTGCTGCTCCTACCATCAGCGTCGCGCTCTTCGTTCGCTACCAACCCTATCCTCTCGTTTCGTGCTGAACCACAAAATGGCGGTAGATGGGTGGTGACTCTGCGACGCTTTTGGATTTAATTGGACTCGCTGGCCGTAATTAATGTAATCCCATTGGTTGCGTTTACGACTAATACAACCTCAAGATTATCAAATAATTAGCCGGTGTTCGCGAGCTCGCGCGTCCCGGGCATAAAATTCTTCTTAACGGCCGAAACGTTAAGCGCTAGTCCATTCTCGAATTCGGCTGGCTACCTAAACCGCTCAAAGAAGCTAATTTAATTTCCTGATTACTTTAGCAACGAGCAATTCGCATGGAACGAGACCTGTTTAGCATTGTACAACGGTCGTTTGTGTATATTTTCACGAATTGTTCGCTTACCGTTTACGGCCTGGACACTGGCGATAGACACACAGCAGCGTTAATTGCTTGGCTGGATGCTAAAAGTGGAAGGCAAATTAATTCGCGCGTTTATATTACCGCGTATACGATTGAACGTTGTTGGAACGTGATCGATCATCCGTTAGAATAGACCCGGCCAATTCGAAGCCATCCTATACACGCGTAGTCGTTGTCCGGTTACGGGAAAGGTAATCGCGCGGTACATTCAACTACTTACGAGCGACTTATCGAAACGATATAGAATCCGTAAGGATATTCGTAAATGTTCGTGTCGCGTGGCGTCGTTCGTTTCATCGAAGTCGCTGCCAAAGAAATAGAACAGGCTTGACGAGGGGAAAAACTAGAGATTTCTCGGGTTTATCAAAGGCTCGAGGAGTAGCGGGTTTTCATTTGAAATTCCGTGTATCTATCGGCAGAGTTATTCAGCCCCTCGCCTCCGTTTGATTTAAAGTCCTTCGAAAGGGATGATATATATGTATATATATATGGGGCCTGAATGTACCGTCGCATTTAGAGGCAGGCACGCGTGAAATGAGTATTTCCTTCCTAACCCGCGACCTACCGCAGATGTGTATATATTTTATGTTGCTATCGCTAGTTCAAAGGGGTGCCTTGCTTTTTCCTTACCGCCTCAAAAGGATCCTACGGTTTTCTTTCATCGACCGTGTCGAACCTACTTTACCCGTTAGTCCGTTCCGCTAACGTTCCTTTATCACCGCCTCTTCTATCTTTCATCGGTTATTAGTCATCATCGAAAAGTTAGTCGTTTCGAAAATTTCCTAAAAATATTTTATTAGATCGTTTCCACGATTATCTTGTCGTCGTTAACCGCAACAATTTGTTCGCAAATTAAGCTTCTTACTAGAAAATAATGGGATTCGACGTTTACCTCTGTACGTAGAATCACGGTCACTTTCTGCCGTACGTCCCGTCGCAACCTCTATAATTAACGAACGTTGTTAAACGCAAAAAAGTGGTTTGTTAATCCTTTCGTCCAACAGCTTTGGCGTACGATAAAGCCAGCGTGCATTTCGCGGATTGTCGGCCATTCAGCCTCCTATGGTTATCATCGAGCATACATTCTCCGTTTATTCGCGTTCATTTTCCAGCAGATATTTTTTCACGATTTACAGACGGGAGAGAAACCGGCTGGTCGACGTTGAAACGTTTCATCCGCGATCCAACCGTTCCGGATGCGCTTCATTAGAAGTTTGAAATTTCGTTCGGGTCGCGAGTTAGCTCGCTCGGGTGTCGCTCGGCCAGGCGGTCGACCGCGCAGCGAGATGAACGTCGTTATACGCTAGCGGCTAGTCAGTCAACAGTGTACTTTTCCACGGTTCCTCTTCGCTAAGCGCTTCATTTCGTTCGCTGTTTTTATCGTTATACCTCGAGGAGGAACACGCGTACGTTTCGCGTTAACGAGCTTCTTCTCTCGTCGCGTCGCTCGTTCGTTCGCGACCGGTCGAAATTCTTGCAGCGTCTCCGCGATTTTCATGCCACGGCATGCTCGAAATACTTCTTTCAATTGCACCTTGAAATCTTGCCGACAACTATATCCCTCTTAGACGAACGAACGCCTTTACAAAGTTGTCGAAGGTAACTAGAGATGGTAAGAAATTTTGAATCGAGGAAGAAGATACAACGGTGTTTACGACGAGACATTCTGTACTTTCATAAGTATAAAAGTCGATGAAATTATCCCAGTTTCTTCCACGATCGCCATTAACGTCACCTTATTTACGGTGTACGCGATAAACGCATAATAGCTTAAGACGAAAGCTCGTGTCTCCTTCCCCGAGATTAATCGAGCAAGAATTCTGGTGGACGCGGTGGTAAATAAAAGGCTTTAATCGTGGCTGTAATCCGGATCTCGATAACGAAAGGAAGGGAGGGAGGGAAAAGAAGAAAAAAAACAGTCGACTTTGTCGCGAAACAAAGCGAAGAACGAAAGCCACGAAGAAAGACGATAGCACTCGCGACCCGATGTCTAGTTTGAAAGTTCAATTTACGAAGGGGACGTTTCACGGTTGCGCCCTTTAAGGCAATATCCAGGGCAAAGTACGCGCTAGTAGGCCATTACAAAGTTCTAATAGTATGGCAACCCTCTTACGATGTTCGGAACGTTCCAACTAGGCGGGCCCGGCCGTTTTGACTTTAAAATGAAATAGTCGACCCCCGCGTTTAACTTTGCCTAGCCGCGTGGTGAACGTACACAACAACGCCACTTCCCCTTCCCCTCTCTTCGGGCTACCATTATACCATTATAAAGCGGACCGTTTTTCCGAAAGCCGAGTTTTATTCTTAATGGTCCGTGCAACATTCTGGATAAGCTCGCAATTATCTTTCGATTCTTACGATATATTTTTTCGTTTATTGGAAGTTGAAGCGGCTACGATACAGCGAGATGAAATTTAGCGTCAAGTTCGGAGCGGCGTTGATCAAGGTTATAAAGCAAGATATAGCTGCTGGACGAATATCGAAGCTACGAGAGGTCGAGATCGCGGTTCGGGCTACAAAGTTTACCTCGAAGCGGAGCTCGTGACCGTGAACTCGAAATTCGAATTAAAGTCGAAGCGTTATCGGTCTCGACATCGCGTTCGAACGAAAATCGTATTCGTAACGATTTTATAGGATTTATACGGACAGCGAATCGTTCACTCGGGTCCTTTTAAACTTGCTCGATAGCGATACAACAGTTTAGAAGTTACCGTTAACGAAGGAGGTTACCGGTACTTGGCGTGGCTTAATTCCAAGAGCAAAAGCGAGAATTGCCGAGGACAACGCGATTAAAGTTTCAACGAATAGAAACCTCCTAACCGCGTACAATGTCCGCCACTTTCGAAAGCTCTTTCCCGTTGGGGCGGCTCTTTAACGGTGTTCTTAATCGAGGCTGGTCAGCTTCTTTCGCGCGATCCTCTTTAAAGCGTATTCATACGAGACCACGTATGAATACGAACGAGAAAAGACGGTCGATGCTCGTCGAAGGATCCGACGCGTCGAATCAAGTGATCGGTTAAAGGATTAATCGAATCCGTGGACGGCATTAAATGGAGCGATATTCCGGCAAGTCGTTCGGTGGACTAAATCTCTGCTACACGAGCAGACGCGACGAGCGAAGAAATAAGGGAAAATATGATCGGAAACAGGTATCGCGATCAGCTTTTGGCCGATAGGTAGACATTAAGAGGGGTTGGTAGGTGAGTAGGTCGTAGACCTTTTAACGAAGGTATAGGTATAGCGGTAAGGAACGAAGCACGGGGAAAAAGGGAGCTCGGGAAACTAATTTTCGCGATATTAGTCTTACGAAATTGGTTATTGATGTTCCATTCGTCCGTCGATAATGGCGGACGGAAGCGATTCTCCGGTGAAAGGTCGTAAGTCCAGGAAGGTCGAGGATCTCGAGCTCTCGCGCCACCCTCTCTCGCTACCTCTTCCTGTTCGTCCTTCTTAAAGGAATTGCTTCCTTAACGGGCGTTAAATCGACTTTCCCAACCTGCTCTTACCGGCTTCGCGATTGACAAATATTTCGTGGTCGTCTTCTTCCACTAATTTCGTCTTTTACTATTTTTCCTTTCATCCTTCTTCTTGGCCTTTTTTCTTCGCTCGGAATGTTGCTTCGAACCTCGAGCTACTCTCGCTACCTTCCGCTTCCACCTGGACGAACGCTCGCTCGGCCTCCTGGCGTTCGTCCAACAATCCGTACTACGTACTTCGAAGTAGCCAACGATGCCTCGGGAAAAGAACGAACGAATCGATAGATTCGTGGAACGAGCGTCCACGACGAAACAACGTTTCCGCGCCGTTTTCGCGATAGCCGCTCGAATTCTCTTCTTGTCCCGCGACGAATTTTCTCCTTCGAGCTATACCGAAGATACCGAGAAACGCGGAGGAAATTAGCAGACGTTCTAAAGCGAAACTATTCCCGTAACGAGATCGTATTAATCGAGTAGTTGGAAATCGGGGTGCAAAGGTTCGCGTCGAGAACGAATATCTCGATCGAAGTCGAGGAAGATAACGCAGTCGCGTAAACGAGTTCCGACCAATTCCGACCTAGTAGATATTTAACCGAAAACGCGAACGGGAAGGGAAGAAAAATAAGCGGAAGAAAATGCAGAAAAGAATGCAAGAGGAAACGTCGCAGATAGGATGTTACGTATGGGGAACGTTCAGTCAAGTTTCATTCGCGAATCCTCGTTCGGTTCTTTCTCCTTTCGCGGACCGCTGATAAGGAAGAAGATATAAAGCAGGCAAGATTAGAAAGCCGCCGAGGGAGATGGGGGGATGCTGGTGGCGAAGCGGTTGAAAGAGGGCTCGGTTTACTTGATGAAACGGAGTTTTCCAACGAGAGGTACGCGCCACTTTTCCGCCGCCTACGTGTTTGCCAGCAGCCACGGCAACCTCACGATTCCTTATTCATCAACGCCATTGGAAAAACTCGTGAAATTTGCATCCCGACACGCTCGTACATCCTCCGTATTTATGCACTCGACCAATCCCGCCATCCTTAAACGGTCTCTCCGTTTTTCAACGGCGCGTGCTGCATCCGATTTAATTTTTATCGCGTCAACGTTTCTCTGAAAAACTTGTTCCGATCGTGGCGCGGCGCCGACGAGATTCGTTCCTGTTACGAAGCTTCTTCGAAACGTTCATCTACTGGGACGACGAAAAAATGAGCATCGTCGCGACGGCTTATAAATTTTGTCGGCACATCGAACGTTAATACGGTGGAACGTTCAAGGAGTGTAAGGAAGACAAGGTTTGACAAGTGGTGTCGATTAACGCTTCGGAGACAACGCATTTTTTCCAATTCGACGTTTCTAAGAAATTATCTAAGCTGCGAAGCTAATAGGTACCTATGTAACTTCGATGCGAAAAGAGGGAAAAATTTGAACCGACGCGAAATTTTCAAACCGGGAAAGAAGCATCGGTACGCGAAGGCTGGCTGCAAAAAGGTGACGTTACGGGAAGGAACGGTGGTGCGCGTCGAAGAAAAGTTGGAGATAGACCGAGCGAAACGGTAGTCGAATACTACAGGGTAGAAAAACGACGCGGAAAAAAAGGAAAGACGGAAAAAACGTAGAAAGGAAAAGAACTGCTGAAGCGCTTGTAATTACGTTGGAAAGAGAACCGAGAATCGGATCATAACTTGGCGAATAATTAATTTATAATTAAAAGAACGTTGTAAGTAAGCCTTGGAATATTTAATAGAGCTTCGTGTTCGAAAGGAAGACGAGGAAAAAGAATTCTGTCGCTGAATACGATAATATAGAAGGTAGAGTGACGCTATTCGATAAGTAATATCGAGCATAGAGATACGCAAAGTCGAAGAAGGAGTAAAGAAATAAATAGAGAAGCAACTTCGCGGAGCTGAAAGTTCCGGTGACTGGGCGAGCGGTGGTTCGTATCGAAGAACGACGAGCGAAAAGATGATCGCGCGGATCGGCGAAAATTTCGACGACGCGCGGTAACGGAAGAAACGATGAAAATTTGAACCGGTTTAGTAGTCGAGGGCGCGATTTATCGTCGAGCGAAAAGCCCTTCGATCCCGAACAAAAGGCTCGTCGGTGAACCATTTCCTTCGCTAAATTATTCCTCGGAGGTTATAAGATGCAAAGCGAACGCGTGTAATCCCTCGAAATTTCGCGAGTTTCGTGAAAAATTCACGCGGCAAACGTTGGTAGAAAAAAGGATCGTTCCTTCGTCGACGACGTCTTTAATTTTCGTGGCTCGGCAAGCCCTATTGAACGCGATCTTTTGTCGTTCGACTTTCCCATCTCTGCCGGGGGATAATTCTTCGTCTCGGTGAAGCGTCGCGGAAACGAGGACACGGAACGTTCTCAAAGCGAAATAAATCGGAGCGGTGCGGCGAGGTATCGGCGAGGTATCGGCGCGACGACCAATCGGTACGATGAAAAGGGGATCCAAGTGTATCGCCCGGACCATCAATTTGTCCAACCCGGAGACCTGCATAAGACCGAAGAGGATTCAGAAGCTCGTCGAAGCGATGCAACCGTGTCCGAGTCATGTCGGGACTGGATCCTCTTATTGGACTCCGAGACCGGTCGCTATTAAAATTTGCACGTGGAAGGATATGCGAAGGACTTGTCCACCAAAGGTGATTACGTTTCCTTTTTATCTTACTTTTCTTACTTGCAACACGCGACGCGCCTCGATTTCGAAATTGTCTCTTGCGTGTCGGAATATTCGTTATTTCGAAAAGATATTTATCGTTAACGCGAGAGAGGGAGATCGAGTCTGCGAACGAACAGTGTTAATAGTTAGGAGTCGTACGAGCGGGCAGGCACGATATCGACGCGAGGAAGCGGAGAGACGACGGTGCTCCAGCACCTGTACGGAATTACTTGGTCGATACGTAGTTGCGTTTACCTGGAATTAGCCCGACAGTTCGGTGTACACATGTACAGCGACGCCGATGGCTCTCTAATGGAGGAGGACAGTTTGGCGAGTTGGCGTATACTTGTTACGGACAAGGTGAACTCTCGTCGGTCAGAGCGTTCGCGTTTATTAACGTGTTCGGTTAGGTTTACTCGTCTAACTCGTTAAGTCGAAGGAAAAATTCATCGTGTTCACGTACGTTTGCGTAGCTTTGCGATTGTTCGCCAAGGGCGCCATCGAAGACCGCGGGCCAGAGGTTATGCGTGGCTCTGCTGTTCCTCTTAAAGAGCAGCGTCGCTGCTGGACTCGTTTATTGGACCAATGCCGAAGGCTTATGGGGCTCGAGCGACGAAGCGGAAGATCTATACTATAGACTAATGGGTACCATCGCGGCCATCTTCTCCGACGACTACGACAGCGATCAAGTAACGTTCTACCGTCTCTACAATTTACGATATCATCTTACGTGCATACGTATTATATTTCTATGTTCGTTGGACTTTGAAAGCGAAGAATGTGTATTGACTAGAAATCGTAACGCGTTCGCAGATCGAGTTGCCTCGCGTAGGAGAGTTCAAGTACCGCATGATACAGACGTACAATCGCGCGGTGTTCATGGTCATGAACTGTATCGTGGAGACGTCGATAAAGTTGCGGGAACAGATTCGATATATCCTGTCCCCTCAGGAGAACGAGCAGGAACCAGAAGAGTCCTCCGATGGCTCGGCGAACGGCAAAAAGCAAACTTGAGATCCTGTTCGTCACCGTTCCAAGCTGAAACACATATAATAACGGACAATAAATTATGTCGTGTAACGCGCTTCGTCTGTCCCGTTCACAATTGTCAATTTCAACGTTCGAATAAAGAGAAGCTTCGTACTCGAGAAAAAATGGCTTCAACCTGTTCGACTCGCTTTGTACGTGCGGCAATCGTGTAAGCAAACGAGATACATGGACGGATTAAAATTCTGTTCAGGCTCCTTTCATTTTTTTCCCTGAACCACGGTAGGGCACACGAGGGATTTCTCGCAGAGCTTGCATCTTAAACGATTTTTATGGCGCCGCCTCTCTATCGCGGTTAAACTTTAAACTCCGTCCTCGGCGCTTGGAAATTTATTTCTACGACACGAGCTTTTCGGTCAATCCGTTCGCGGAGACGAGTATTTTATTTTCTTTCGCGTTTCCGCGGTTAAACGCGTCGACCTCGAGTTAAACGTGCTCCATAAATAACGATAAAAGTATCTTGGAAGAATTCCGCTCGATCGATCCATAAACTTCTTCTCCCGTTCTCGAGCTATTTTTACAAATTTCCTCGTCCAACAATTATGCTCCGTTAATTCGTCATAAAGTGCCGAAGTATAAGATTTTTTTTCCGGCTGCCGAGGTTCTAAGCCAGTATTCGTTTAATGGACGTTGATCAAGAAAAATGAACAAACAGCCACGTCGAAACGCGTGCAATTTTCGCGAAAAATTTGTTCGATAGGATCTTTCGTGCTTCCCGCTCGGTAGCCTCGAACAAGTTTTCGCATCGATTTAGTATCGCGTCGGATGTCTGGCGAGGCTCTCCCCAGGGAGGTGAAAATGATTCGAAGCCAACGATTCGGACAGTTAAACAGTTTATTCGGATCGAAACTTTACGTGGTATATACATACGAGTTAGTAGACGATATGGTAGTTCTGATATGAAATCACCTATACAGTGAACTTAAAATATACAATATATGTCGATTTACACGCGTCGCGTTTCATTATGTACACTCGTTCCTTGACGATTACGCTTCCTTTTTCTATCCGTTTCGAAAGATCGAACAACGACACGAAACCGACAACGATCATCTTCTCGTTCGTTCGTTCTTTCGTTCTTTCCCTTTTTCGCTTTCTTTTGAAAAATCAACCTTTTGCACCGGTAACGATTTTCACTATCCGCTCGTCTACTCGGAATTAACGGACAAATAAAAGTTATCGTTTGTTCGATGCCGCGATTTTTATCGCGTACACCTTTGTACATCCGCATCGTTCGTAGTAAGATGGCGAATAATATTTGTCGATAAAGGAAAGGATAAATTTCTTTCGACCACGAGTGCAAAAGGTTAAACGTTGAGCATTCGAGAATTCGCGTGGATATTCTCGGTTTATCGTAGCTACGCTGAAACCGTGTTTCGTCTTTGTTCGATTTTCGTCGGTTAGGCTGATGCTTTGATGGACGCGAAAAAACGCGTGATTCCGTTGATCGGGTCGTTCCTTTCCGGTATAAGAGGATGATTGGTCGTGGTATTCGATAGAAAACGTTGTTCGGTTCGGATCGTCGAAGCGAGACTAATTCTATGTTGCGGCGAAGACATTCTAATTAACAAAGATCGTTGTTCGTCGAGCGGTTTCGGAAAGTAACGACCTGTCAATCTGTCACGTTAACGAGACACCGACGAGACGAAGAACGCCGTGTCACCGTCTCGAATCGCTTCGATTTACGACCGCGCGAACGGTCATCGATAATCTCTTCGTTATTCCCGCGCGTTATACAATTTTCGATCTCGAACGCGGCATGCTATTATTCGATGAACAAAATGGATCTACACTTTACAGTTTAAAAAGAAAAAAGGGCGTAACAAGTTCCCGAAACTCTTGAAAACTTCGTGAACTTTGATAAACTCGATAGTCTTGGTAAATGTAATAATTCGAAAGTCTCGGAAGTCTTGGAAAACTATTGGTTCTTGGAAATTTATCTGAAATTAGTTGTCGCGTAATTTATTCGCGTAGCGTATGTCTTCGAATCGATAAATTCTTGATCGCAGATATTTTCGATGTAGCAACGAAATAATATTTCGAGTCGTTCGATACGTTACAGATCGGGAGAAACGCGTTAATAACTCGAGGACACGTTCGCGCAATCGTATTTCGAAGTCGATCCATCGAAAAGTTCTTCAACGATACATACTTATGTACAACGATACGACATTAACTAACGAGCAACGACTTTTTAGTTAATTTTAGTTTCATCTGTTTCCATTATTTTTCTTGGGTTTTCCTCTTTAAGTACATCGAAAAAAAAAAAGAAAAAAAATTCACACACACGCACACTCGACGTTTCACGCATACGATAATTTAACGTTTCGTATCAAGATTTTTGTCTTCGTCTGTTCGCATTTAAAGTACGAAGCAGCAATTTGAGCGAGAGTTTCGGACCATCGTTCGCCACGCTTCGTACTTTTAGGAATACACTTTGTCGCTCGTTTTTTATTCACTCGTATTTCCGCTGTCGAGTTTCATGACTTCGTCGCGAAGTGTCACGTGGAAGCCCGGTATTTCTGACTTTATAAATTGAATTTTTCATCCGGAGTACAAAGACTCCGCGAGGCCTCTTCCGGCTTTATCTTCCTCCTGTTCGTCGCTCGGATCCAATGAAATTAGAACAGTGATTCGTTCTCTGTTACGGATTCGATACCGCTCCTTTGGATTAAACGGCGATTTTTGCTTTTCCCGATAATCGAACAAAACAGATTTTTCACGCTGTACAGTTTCGGAATCGTCGCGCTTTCGACGATTATTACGAACGCGATAAGGCAGATCGAGTGTCCGGCGAAAAGTTGAGAACGCGGGGGTTCGCGAGATTGTCTCCGATACATATTTAGCAATTTCGATATTTCACGCTTCAGGAAGTTGCTAATTCGCTACGATTTACTTTCGATTAATTAACTCTCGCCATTCTAACTTAGCCCTAATCGAGATCGGTGTTCAGTCTTGTCGCGTAATTTCAAAATTCTACCGTTCGAAAATATATCGTTAGAGATCGGAAAGATCGGCTAATTTTCGAGCAGACTTTCCACGCGCGAAAACGAGAAATCGGATTTCAAACGAAAAGGTAAAAATTCGTGTTTCGCGACGATACATCCGTTCTATCGCGCATACATTTTTCAACCGTCGAAGCTGATTGATAGGCATCGGAATTCTCGCGTTTCGCTCGTCTCCTTAGAACCGGGCAAAGTAGCATCGCGTTATCTTTTCATTCCCCCTGTTTCTTCCCTGTTTGCTCTCCCTCTTCCTTCCCTTTCCTTCCTTTCTGTCAATACTCTCGCGCTCTTTCCGAACCCCTCTTCTCTGTTTTCCTTTTGTCCGCGTTATCCATCGCACATTTTCGCGCGGTTCCTACATCCATCTTCATTCCGAAGAACCGGAAGAGGGGTCGTTCCAGAAGCTTTTATCTTTGCTCGCTTTACCTCGCCTGACCTAATGTATCGACGTCTGGAGGATTCGATCCGTAGGCTCGTCGTCGAATATTTTCAACGGAATTAGTTAACCTTTGCAACATGTATTTCTTCTAGCTTTTGCCTGTTTCAGTCTCGACGAACAAACTCTATTATATTTATAGATACGATTCAACGTTTTCGTCGCGACTCCAAGTATTTATTATCGATTTCTCAACGAAACAGGATACACGTTCGAAACAAAAAGTCACGATTCGTTCGATATTTTGATTACGCTAAAAATCGATCCAAGGACGACACAAAGAATATTAGCAAAATGTTTACGTAGTTATAATATCGACGTAAATACGATATTTTGTTTGTGCGCGATTCGAGAACTAGTGGCCGGGATAAATTAGGTAAAATCGAATTGAAAAGAAATCGCGGTGTTTGTCGAGGGGCCGTGTGCCGAAAACGCGAATCACGTAGAGAAGAAGAAGAAGAAGTATACGAGAAGACACTGTCGAATGATCATTGCACTCGAAGTCGACCTATGGAAACTGCGAGGAGGAAAAGTTGCGCCGACAGGAGGAGACAACTTTCGAGCGTCTTTACCCAGGTGAAAAACTCGAGAGCAACTTTTCACCTAACTCTTTTCCTGTTTTATTGTTCCTCTATTTTTTCCTTTCGTGTCTTTTTCGGAAGAAAAAATTGTTACTTAACTATCGAGAAAACGTTTACGAAACACTTTTGGCGGATACCGTTTCTCGATGTTGCGAACAAAAGTAGATAGTAATCGGTAAACCGACATTCGAGGACGAACTTTGGCCGAACGGGTAGAAAGAGGGTGCAACTTTTCTATAGTCGTTAGCAATTTTTCATTTTCTTCCGAATTGTTAGTTACCTTCGCGAGTTTAACAAGTACTATCTACCTTTTCACCTTTTCTAAATAGTTTTGGCATCGAACGCGAAACGATTAACCGGTACTTCGGATCGAGGGTTTCAGGCCGTGCGCTGGGTCACCGTGGACCACCACCATTGTCCGAAGAGTCGTACAGCGAAAGGACGTCGTTTCGAGAAGTTTTCGGTTCTTCCTGCTGGGCTTCCTTCAGCCTTGGATTTTTTCCGTCTTATCCCAGAACGATGTACGTTCTGGTTAGGCTGTCAGGGTTGTTCTCGAAACCGAAAAAGCGATCGGAGGAAGAACGTCGTTGCCGTTGGCCGTACACGAATCGTTGTTCTCGGAGTAGCGTGGAAAACGCGTTTCTCGAATGGCGAATCGGAAGGATACACGAATAAAAATTGCGACTCGTGTCGGTCGCCTCGAGGTCGAAGAATCTCGTCGAGACTCGTAGCCTGTTGGTTGAACGCGCGATACGACTAAACGTCTAAACGCAACTCTCTGGTAGTCTGTTAGCCATCAATCGTCTCTTAATCGCTTCGCCGTCCAGACATTCTCCGGCGACTACGACACCCTGGCCACTACCGACGATCCCACCGGCGCCGCTCACCAGGACACCTTGCCCACCACCCACCATCACTCCAGTCATGGACATGCTCTGTAAACTCGGTATCGTGCTTCTCGACGGTAACCTCAGCTCCGTTGGTCTTCCACTGAATTTCTGACACAGCTCGTCTATGCTCGGCGTAGGTCCCGGCGTGACCCAGTGTCCTGGGGGATAGCCACCCGGATAACTCGGCGGACTGACCTCTACCAAGCTACCCTCTGCAACCATCGATCGGCAAATAAATTCGTTTTTATTAGTTGACTTTTTAGACGTTTTTTAGACGAACAACAACTTTTAAACCGATTATCGTCGAATCCGCGAAAAACGGCCACTCGAAGCGTCATCGGATAATACGCGCGTTAGCGAAATTAGGTTACGTTAAAACAACGATAATCGAACGTTTCGAACATGGAGCGGCAAATATTTTTGAAAAATATCTGTTTTATCGTTCTCGGATGATATACCGTTGTTGCCGTGTCCATGCAGCCGTGTAAGCCGCGGTAATTGAATAAAATCTATACACGCAGCTACTACAAATCGTGGCGTGCCCGTAGCCCCGACGCAATTAGATTAACTGCGCGTTGCGAGACCGTTTCCTGCCTATTATTTGGAAATCCAGACCCGTGATCGATTCGATTTTCCGCGAACCCCGTTGGATCGTGATTAAGTCACGGTTTCGACGAGCGACGCCGCGTTTAGCGGAACGAGCTTTAGTTTAACCAATTTTCACCGTTAAATAAGTAATTATCAGAGAGGAAGTAATCGCGGCGATCGCGCGTACAAATTGGTATTCGAGCAGTAGCCTGTACGTAAGATATTTTAAACTCACCGAATTTATTCGGGATCACGTCGGGATCGGTTTCTACGGTTTGCTGAGTGTTTTGCAGAGGATACTGCTGCGCGGGTAATTCGCTAAGTTCCGCCGGTTTCTCGTGTCGAGGTTTCGAGACTCGTTCTCGACGAACCCTGACAACCACCACCAGGACGATCAGTACCAGCGTGACCAACGCTCCGACCACCACTCCTATCAACGGTGATAGCACGATCCCAGCGTCTTGTCCTTGAACAAACATAAATTCTGGATAATTAGTGGGACAGCGTAGAAGGGAATAGAGTAAGGGTCGTTTAAACGAGCTACGCGTAATTAACAAATTCCACGCGGTCGCGCAGTTACCGGTTACCAGTAGTCAGGGCCCGATGAAATTTACGAGGAACTGGGGATTGACAAATGAACAACGGCAATTTATAGAAAATTATCGGGGTGTAGTAATTAAGCGATGCATCGCCTCGCCCCCTCTTATAATCGATTCGATCGTTGCTCTCGACCAACATTATAAATCCTATTATATCCGAGTGCATTAATAAACATGTGACCACGGAACGATCCAAATGGCGCGATAATAATCATTACGAAACGTTGGACAAGCTTTTCGAGCAACGATCGAACGTTAACTACGTCGAGACGAAACGATAACAGCAGATTCCCTCTAGCGTAATTAGCCAGCCAGAGGCCCTCCGACGATTACTCGCCGTTGCTTTTCTCGATCTAACGATCTGCCGCGTTCCACCGAAGCTTCCGTGACCGAACTTCCGATAAGATCTTCCATCTTTTTTCCTTCGGAAATTTGCTCGTCAAAAACGTCTCGTCGATACGTTACCGAACACGTTAATTTCCCTTACAGAAAGTACAGAAAATTTCGAAATTGTTTCGCCTACCTTCCTATCGATAATGTACGTATCCCGGCAAATGTATTTTCATTTTCAACGCGACAAAAGAAAAATCGAGTAAGAATATTCGACACGTTTCGTTCGTTAGTATTTCCCTGGCGTTTCTCCGTTCGACTAGATACGTAACTAACAAACTCTTCTCATCGAGGTGCCTCGATTAAAAAGTGTCCATTACTTGGAATTGTCCTTCGGATAACAAGTTTTATTCGAGTAGGTAACTAAGTTAAATGTCTAATTAAGAAAGCGCTTTTTTTCCAACTTACGTTCACAACGATGCATCTCGCGCGTTCCTGGAACAGATTTCTTCTCTTTTCTCTTCTTTCACCGTGAAGCGGAAAGCATCGCGAAGCGAGGGGCCGAAGAAGCGCAAATTAGGCCGAAGGATTAACCGTTTTGTCACGTGCCACTACTTTTTTCTTTTTCATACGCATACGATCGGCTAGAAAGTTCGAAGAATCGATCCTCGATTCGAATATAGGGAAAATTAGAAATGTCGAATTATATCGTTGTATCCGAAGCAGTTTATCGCGATAATCGATAAAGAGTGTTGGCAACTATAGCGGAAACGGGAAGTTACGAGGTGGTTTTGGCACGTTCCCTGGGAAAAAGCAAAAGAAAGAGAGCGAGAAAATCTTGCAGGTTAATTGTTGGTCTCGGATTCGCGAGGCGGCGTTTTCTCGCACGTGACGTTTTACTTGATAGTGGCGGAGCGTGGGAACGGGTCTGCTGTTTTCGTCGGATAATTAACAAAACTCCCCATTCTTCCAGCGCGGCGTGGCCAGCTGCGCTCTGCTCTGCACAGGAATTTAAGTGGGACAGAAGCACGGTGGGCAGGTCGAGCTGGTCCGGACCACGCCGAGCTCCGCTCCTGCCGTCACGAATGTTCTTCGTTCTTAAAGCGCAGCCACGTCGCGAGATTCGAGTTTACGGATTGCGAGAGGATCGGCGAAACACGACACAGACCTTATTACCGCTATGTATTATCGTATACATATATACGATAAAACGCTGCTCTTGTGTCATCGTAATCGAGTTTCGCGACACGAACTCTTTCTTTCGCGTATTCTTTTCGAAAGGTCGTTAATACGCTTAATCGTTCTCCCTGCCGTAGTAATTTTTTAATCAGTTACTAGTTTTTAGCAGATTACAGGATGTTTTTTGTCGGAAAATAGAGAGGAAGGGCACAGTTTGCGATCGTATAGCCTCCTAAGCCCCGACAATGTCTCGTAAAAGTTCCGATGGAAGTTTAATCGAGTTCCACGCGAAGAAACGTCTGCTGTTCGGGGTAGTAAAGATAAACCGGCCCTTATACCGTCGATCCTCGAGGATCGTCTAACGGGATTCCCGAAGCGAACCAACGGGGGAAATCGCATATCCCAGCGGGTTGCCGAACTTCCAGAGGTTCGTCCAAGTTTAGATCGCTAATCGGTCTTAACGCGAGGTCAATATCCTAGATGCCCGTTCCATTTGCCGAGAAAAAAACTATCACCGATCGAATAGTCGGCGAAACTCGACGAACGTTAGGTTGCTCGCGCGATAACGTTAGGCCGCTAACGAATTCGAAGGACACGGCGGCGAAAAGTAAGTAAACGTTGGTAAAAAGTTAACGAATCGAGGAATTTCGAGAAGCGGAACGAGGGAAAAACGATCTCGGCAGTTTGAACGAAGGGTTAAAAGTAAGACGGAGGTCGGGTGTCTCGCGTGGTCGGTTAAGTCGTCAAAAAGCCCGGCTTAGCCGAGGCTAGATCTAACTTTGCCTCGGTTGGATTAATTTCAACGTAAAGCTAAACCCGAATCGATGTCGGCCTGTCTCGTTCCACGGCTAAGACGACTTACGGTTCTCGTTGGTCAGCCGTTTTCAATTAACGAAACGCTCACGCTACCTTTCGTCTTCGTGACCGATCGCTTTCGTCCTGGATTACCGGCAAGACGCGCGACCACCGACGCTTCCGAAAATTATTCCGTTACCAACGAGCAATTCGTTGCGTCTTTCCTAGGGAAGACTCTCCTAGGGAAAGTCAACTATTATCTATTATCGTATAGAGACACACCGCGAACGTTTCGTTCGATTTATCGTTAGACTCGATCGTAGCTGGCGCCAAGTAAAATCATCTTGACTCGTAGTTGGCACGGATCGACGCTTTTACGAGAACTTTTACGAGAACGAATACCAGTCCGAGTCGAGGACTTTGCTGTCACTCGGATACGCGCTCGTATATTTTCCTACGACGCTACGCGACGCGTTTCTTCGGAGTAAGGAGATCCTCGTATATACGATCTATTCGTGGATCCGTACGCGCAACACGATGCCAATAAAACGTCATGAATCTTTGCGAATACGTCGTGATAAGTGCAATAACCGAGTTTGCGGTTATCGGAGAAAAGAAAGACCGTTTTCGGAGGCGTACGTTGGACGAGCGCAATATTTTATTCGATAAGACGCCACGTCGTTAGCTGGATTAGGCGAATATTCGCTTTCTGGCAGGTTTTCTAGCAGGAATAATTTCGTCGAAACCGATGGCCCGCGGCTAGTATTCGAATTAAAGCGAAATCAAGGAACAAGGAAGGAGATAGAAGGACAAGAGGATGGTAGCGTAGCGTTAGATAAAGGGTTTCCCATCGACACTAGTGGCATTCCTGCCGGTTCGTACGATAATTGAGATCACGGTACTTGGCCTTAAGCCTTCCGAGCCTCCGACGATCGGCCAATCCCCTCGATAAGCGTTTATTATGGACGAGATTCTCAAGATCCGTGACTACATTGCCCTTGGCTTCGTCCTTTCTCGCTCTCCCTCTCTCTATCTTTCTCGCTACTCTTCCAGCTTTCTCTCTGCGGGCCAATCCTCTTCAGCATGCGGGATTGCGCCGGTAATTGCTCCTCGATTTCGCCTACGTACACACGGACTTCTATTGTTGCTGCGCATCGGCGTACGCGATCTCTCCCGTGTGTGTAGACGCGAACGAGCGACCGATATACTACGGAAAGGGGGCTAGAGGAGAAAAGAGAGAGAGAGAGAGAGAGCAATCAGTGACGAACTCTCGAGACTGTTCCAACTGATTGCAATTAAGAGGATACCAAACCACCATCGACGTCGCTACTTGACCGTTCACGGTATTAGCATCCGGGGAGGGAATCGCGTGGCTCGTAAAACGGATCGAATCTCTGCTCCTCGTTGAAACGCGATCCTTTTCGATTCTAAACGCGATTCTTTTCCATTTGCGCGCTCCGTCTTTTCCACTGCTCTTTATTCTACCGAAACGACGAGTATCGCGTCATACCGACTATGACCATACGTCGGAAAATAAGTTGCTTCGTTTCGCTACAAACGCGTCAAGTATTTCAAGCTTTTTCCGGACAATCCAGGAAAGGAAAGAAACTTTGCTCGCTCTTCGAAATTCTTTATTTTTCTCAATTTTTAAGTTAGCAAATCATGGAGTTTTGAAATTTGTATATCTCAGAGTTCGCAGATTGACAAATTTTTATCAACGAAAAATTAATCGGTCGAATCGTTGGATTAAGGAATAAAGGACGTATTGCACTAGCGTGCAGCGGAAACGCGACAGCGAAATCGCGCGATTCGGAATGCGTCGTTTTGTCGAAAGTTTCGTCGAGTTAACCGGTTTCAAAGATCGCCGAAGATATTCGGTCCCTGGTGATTTCGGTGACGATCGTAGTTCTGTTGGAAAGTTTCTAGGAAAGTTGGTCGAAACGACGGGAAGGTCGAGTCGAAATCGAGGCAGAAAAGGAGAATCGGTGTAACCTGGCGGAACGGAAGTTGAACGGGGTGCTCGTTGTTAGCAGCGATCGTTCCGTATACGTGTCATGCATAATACAGGTATATTTATGCATGTAAATAGATTGCGGTCACGCGGTTGTGTGCGTGTACTTATGCACCGGCAAGGTATTTTGCCGAGACGCGTAAGGCCCATAAAACCTGGGGTTTAATAAGCCATTCTAGTCGCTCGCTCTCTCCAACCGTTCTCTAACGAACCTTCTGCTACACACCTGCTATTATAGCGAGCTCGACGTTTACCTTTCCGTTTATATTCCGTGTTTATTCCACGCTTGCTGAAAAATTCTGCGATCGAATCGATCAATGGAAATACCGAAATTTTTTCGAGGAATCCTAATGATCGAACGAAATAACGTGGTAAGGCATCGTCGTTTACGACACTCGTATACCTTTGACGACGTTACCTGGACCAAACGATCGAGCAAATTGAACTCCGCGAAACCGGATAAACGATTAATCGATCGATCGCAAAGTCCAAGTATTATTTGGAAGAAATTCTGCGAGGAATAGCTGTTTCGCGTGGAAACGTTCGAAAAGCGGAGAAATTTCTCGAGGTCTGAGTAATCTGATCCAGAAGTCGGTTGCAGTTGACGTCTTTCAACCTCAGTCACAGACACCGTTTCGCGTGGAATTCCGTTATGCGATCGATCGATTCGTCTATAATTTCTCTTGGAAATTCCACGGGTTTGGTTTCCCGGAATTAAGCGGGGTTCGTCGTCGATACGCGTCAACGTCGCTGTTTTCGTCCCTCGTATCGGTGTCGTCTCGTTCGAAGCGCGATCGACGATCGGCAAATTTCACGCTCGTTGCTTCTTCGAACCAACAGAGCTCGAAACGCGTTATCGATCCTGTCGCGCGAGGCTCGCGCGATCGTTTACTCGGAGGGTTAATGAAAGTCCGCTTCTTTCCAGACTTTCAAACATCTTTTGTATTTTTCAACGAGCGAACGCGGTTCGATCCCGCATTCGATAGCTCGTAATGATCATGATAGCTTCTAATCGAGTATATCCCGGGACGAGCCTCCAACTTGTTGAATTCGCGTATAAAAGTTTCGAGATCCAAGCTGCTTGGCGAACAATGATCGTTAATCGTCGAGGCTCGCTTACCAAATATGGGTGTCCCGACGTCGACGTAAGTTCGAACGAACAAAGCGGAACGGACTGCGTCGGGTGACACTGGTCAAACAAAGGGGTCTGGCTTTAACCGAGCGGACGTTATCGTATTACATCGTGGTATTACGCCGCGAGCATGGAAAGAGACTCGAGCCGAAAACGTCGTATAATCACGGCCAGTCGTTTCCGCTTAATACCGGACAGTATTTAGAGACGGACTTAGAACTCGAGAATGGCTCGTAATGATACTTCCGGCAACATTAGCTGCTACGAATGGCGTTGCCCGAACACCGTTTGAGGGATCTCTTTCGGCCACCGCTGAAATTGCTGGATAACTCGTGCTTCGCGTAAACTCCGACTCGAGAATATATATTACGCGACGGTAGAATATTTCTTGAGGACTTAACGGTGACTCGTATGGCGATAATAATCGTTTCCCTTCCGAAACGGGAAGCTCCGCTCGCTTTAATGGAATTTAAAGGGGTTCGTGCCCGTTTGAAAGCGCCGCATCGCACCGTATGCAGCTCCGCGAACCGATTACCGCCAGCGAAATTAATAATTCTCACCGTACGCGTTTCCGTTCACGAACCACGCGTACCGAGTAAATACCGAGTAAATACCCGAGTAAACCGCGAATTACGAGAAAACGAGCCCCTCGCGACTGACTCGGCTGTTCCGCGATCCACGGCTCGTCGCGGTTCCTTAGGATCGATCGATCGTCCGTAGCGTGCCGTGAGCCGCGTTTTAAGACAGTAGCTCGGAAAGCTTCCGGATCTGTAGGACGAGTCTGAATTTTGTGGTTCAGGCACGTATTTGCCAATCAGCACGCGTGTTGCCTCCTCCTCGCCACGACGCGCCCGTTCCTCGAGCGATTTAGGCCACGCTTTTCGTTTTACAACGAGCTCCGGTAAAACGATTAAATAAAACGAAATAAAAACGAACCTCCGTAACTGACGCTCGAAACTTCCTTTAAATTTCGATCCGACTACGATATATTCCAACAGACATTATACGGTTAAAATTCTGTCGCGTAAGAATCGATTCGTGCCATAACGTTGATTCGTTGAAAATCGCGAGTTAAACCGCTACACCGCGGTAGACTGAATTATATTCGACGGGTCGAGGAAAAAAGGCCTTCGTTCGGGTGAAGGACAGAAAAATAAAATAAAAAATGGAACAACTCGGTGAAGAGGGGGAAAAAAAAGAAGGAAAAAAAGAGGGAAAGATAGCACGGAAGAGCGGGGTTTCGGCAATGTCTGACGAGAGGCGTTCCGGAAGAAGCGGGAGAAGATAGAAGCTAGAAGCGGAAAGGGGACGATGGAGAGAGAAAAATGACGACGGGGGTAAACAGAGCTAAGTGAAGTTAACGACGGAGCAAGAAGAGCGGCAAAAATGACCCCGGGAAAATTACCGCACGCGAAACGGCTTAATGTCCAAAAAGACGAGCGAACGAGCAACGACGACGAGAGAGAGAGAGATAGTAGAAACGAGAAAGACGGCAGCTAGAGAAGGTGCAGCCGCTTAATGACCACCCTGTACATTCGTATCTTCTCTCTCTCTGCCTCCCCTTCTCCGGTTTCTATCTTTCTTATTCCGATTCTTAACGTTTTCTCCTTCCAGCGAACGTTTCTCTGTCTACCGTCTTTCCGCTCCCCGACTTCTGTACGGTTCCGGCGTTGGGTGCCGTTGGGACCATTATCTGTAATTGCTTTCCTTAATTCGATGGTCGTTGCTCTGCGTGGCGAATGGGAAAGAATTCTTCCAACGCAACGGAGAAAGGGGTTAACTGGCAAATCTTTCCTAGGAAGGGGATTATAATTATATGTGTACGTAGGAATCGCGGAAGAATCGTCGAACGATTCAATTATTCGGTTCAGAGGACAATTACCGTTTAACGCGAGCACCTTCGCGTTACCGTTTCCATACGGACTTTTGTATGTTTCGTTAGGTTTAAACGGGTGTTAATTCGATCCGTTAATCGATCGAGCTCGGACGAGGTTAGTTTGAACGGCAAGTGGCCGAGAGGTCGAATCGAAAGATAATCGAATGCGGTACGGGAGAGGAACAAGAAGAGGAGAAGGATAGAGGGAAGAGAGAGAGACAGACAGATAGAAAGGGACTAAGTAAGTAAGGGTCGTTTGTTCTTGAATGTCGAGAAGTTGATGTACGAGGAGTCGTAGCGGCTGGAAAGCTCGAGCAAGGAGAGAGTAAGGGAGAGGAGAGACTAGTGTACGCGAGCTCGCATCTCCCGCTTGCAAATTGATAGACGCCGCCGCGACCGTAAATCACTTTACTGACAATTGATTTGGTGCCCTCCGTTTTACCTCGTTGTAAACTCCACGCCATGGCTGATATTTACGATCGACCGTGTACACACCGTGTCACCCACTGACACACTGCGACCTATCCGCGACAAATCTTTTTACATTTTCACCTCGTCCGATGTTTTTTTTCTTTCGTTGCCACCTCGTATATTTTATTTTTCTTCCCGCTAACGTCGACGATTCTTCGCTAATTTTTTGCACGATCGCGTTAGAAAAATTTCGCTTTATATTCGGAACATTAATTTGTTTTCGTTCTTGACGGTTTAAGTCGAAACGAAAGGAGGCTCGTTTGAAAATTAGTCACTCGATATCTAACAAGCTGTTTAAACGACGAGACGACACAACGTCGAGGAGGCAGGTTATACGCGAGGCCACTCTTATCATTAATAACAGTCAGAAAGTTCTGTAAACTTTTTGGAATTGCTCAGAACGCGGAACAATTAGCTCGACTACGATTAAAATACAACGGTGGGACTAGGCGACAACTAACAACTTGTTAATTGTTAGAAATTAATTTTCACTCGTCTTGCTGACATTAATTGCCGACTTACAAATTACCGTAAACTTGTCCGCGACCGTGCTGATAACGCGGAATAGTTTGTCAACTGTAATTACGACGTAACGGGTGATATCGATTCGGATCGATCGTAACGTTAGCGGATAGATAGACTTTTTGTATACGCTGTTAACGTACAGAGCGGTTTACTTTAGCGTGGGTTGTTCACGGGGTAAGTAGCATGACATACAACGGGGAACAGAGACACGTAATGGGTGTGGTGCAGAGTGTGTTGTCCTCGGAGATGGCGATCCGTCTTGCGTAGTAACCCCGCCGTTGACACCACCCATTCGGGAGCATCCGTTCGGAAGGTGGCGAGGAACGCGTAGGGAAGCGACCTTGCCTGCTCCGAATCCCTGAACCTTCGTTAATCTCTCGACAATCGGTGCTGCTCGCTATATCGATCAGGGTCAACCTGCTTTCTCCTCGAACGCGCCTCTTCTTCGATTAACGAGCACAACAATTTTTCATTCCGACGCTTCGGTTTCCCCGCAACCTCCACTCTTGCGAGCAACGACAGAGCGTTCGAAGTTAACAACGTCCACGGCGACTAACGCGACTAGTTAACTGGAATAAGCTTTCGATAAAATGTCTACTTACCGGTTCGTTTCTCGGCATCGCGATAAGTCACTTCGCTGAGAATGATGGGTTGACTTCGGCCTTTCGCGTTCACGGCGTACACCGCCACGTGAACACCAGCCTCGACGGTCGTTTCCAATCCCGCCAACGAGAAACTAGGCTCCTCAGGGTTCGATACGTTGTATAGGGGTTGGCTGGTCGAGAGAAAATCCGCGTCACCGTGGTACACCTCCAGGATGAATTTTTGTGGGAGTCCACCGTCGTAACCGGCTACGCATTTCACCTCGACGCTGGTGTACGTCTGGTTAGCGAGCGTGCAGTTACGTACAGGAAATGGTTTTCCTGAAACCAGAGAACCCCGACACCCTACGTTAAATACCATCGTTCCGCACGGTTGCTGGCGTCGCGTCGTTAAAATTTTACGAGCTCGTGTCGCGACACGCGCCGTTCGCCTTCTCCTACTGCCTCTCCAGTTTTCGTCTTGCCGCTATTAAAACGCCTGTTAACTGTACACAGGGCTACAGACTCGATTATGGTCAGGTGGGAAAACTTCCGATATTAAATAACGGTTGCTCCGTAAAAATTCCTTTTCAACGAATATTCCGCCCGTTATCGCCGCACGACTCTGTTCGTATTCGTGAGAAGAAACTTTAGTCGCGAGACTTGTAACATATTCGATATTCAACCCGTGACACTCGCTTTTACGGCGAGTCGAAGCAACAAAGTTTCGGTTTTCGGGGTGTTAATTAATTTTCCAACATAACGCGGAGAATCGGTTCTCTGCAAGGCCGTACACCTATTTCTGTACGTCCACTTAAGCGCGAACAATTATTAGCCCGCCCTTTATCCAGGTCGCCGGCCAATCGACGGGTGAAACGAGCGTCGAAAATTACTTCCCCTTGGGGTCGTTCTTTCTAGCCCGATCGTTGTTTCGCGAAGTTGTAGCTCGTATCCGTGAGGCTCGTTCGCGCGTTCCAAGAAAATTTCTGTTCCGCGATTCTCGTTGCTTCGTCTTTTGTTATCGCGCGGCCTCGTTTGTCGTACTTTGTCCGGTAATATTTTCTGGATACTTTGTACGCTCCACAGGTTGTCTGAAAGCGTGTGCGTGAAAGTGAGAAGGGAGAAAGGGGCGGCGGAGGAGGGGCTGGGAAAGAGAGAGAGAGAAAGAGAGGCTCTCTGGAAATCAAGCTTCTCCCTCGAGTCTGGTGAAAAATGTTTGCTCGTCCACGAGTGGCAAGGATTTAGTATACCGGGGATAGTAATGGTCACAGAAATGTCCTATTCTTCTTTCCTTTCTCTTCCTTCTGTCTTTTTTTTTATTTTCTTTTTTAATCTCAAGTTGCCGGTGATGCAGTTTTTCTTTTATGCTAGTCAAGGCACAGTTACACTCGTGATTCGGTCATTTTCTTTTTCCACGGCCGTCGCTCGATAAAATTTCTTTTCTCTTTAAACAGACAGCCGAGCTATCGCGCGCAGAAAATAAATATCGTTCTTCCTTTTCCGTTGACGCAGCGGGTGGAAAGCGAATTCTACCCTTTCCTTCTTTCTCGCGTTACTTTATTCTTTTACCTCTAGCAAATGTTGCGTTCTTTGTGTCTCGTTTACGGCCTTATTTAGGTCTTATTTAGGTGTAGGCACTCTTATAGGGAGATCGTTCCTTCCTTTCGAATTCAAAGACTTGGGACGAGTCTTTATCCGGACAAACAGGGCATTATTGGCGGAACGAGCGTTGGACAGAATAATCGCGACGAAAATTCGGGCTACCGCGAAGGTGTGCGATTTGGCAGAGTGCATCTGGTTCACCGTGTATCCGTCAACGTCAATACGCTTTCGGTAGTTGGCCGCGTCAACGTCATTCTCGATTATACGCGACACGGCGCGGCGCGGAGCGGTGCAATGCAGGGGTTAAAAAAGGCATTTGGACGAGGTCGAGAGGTGAAAATCCGTTCGCGGATTAACGTCGGTTTACCGTACGATGATTGGTTGCATCGTATTGTACGCGGGGCGATAATTCCCGAATATCTGTCAGAATTTTGACCGGCCGGTCCGCCGCGCCGTCCCCTGCACCCCTTCGTCGATGGGTCCTTCAGAAAATTGCTTGCTGCCCGAAGATATTTATTCGAAATTACCCGTTGATCGTAACGGTGTAACGATCGATAACCTTCGCATAATAAATCCAATTATTGCACCGGCATAACGCGTGAAAAATATCGAAAGATTTCTTCCTATGAAATTTACTTATGCGAAAAGTGGTGTCATAATCGCGACTAATCAATCGCTAATTTAATAATTATCGCGCGTTAAATTGTTTCGTTCGTATCCTATATCGATTACTATAGGTATATTGGATAAATATGTTTATTCTATAACGTTTATCGAGACGATTATAGGGGTGCAAATTGCTCGTTTTGTTAGTTAATCGACTGCATCGGTTCCGTCTATGTCGCTAAACAAGATAATTAATCGATTTGTAAAATAATTTCTCTATTTGAAAATCGTAAACGTTTCCGAATCGGAGCGCGACAATCATTTGCCAAGCAATTATCGGGATCCTGGGAGGTAAAACAATCTGTAGCCCTTAGGAGTAAATAATTCAGGCGTTAATAGTCTGGTTGACTCGCGACGGTCCCAACATGTTTGAATAATTTACGCGGTAAGGACTTTCGAGTCAAAGCATCGCCGGCTCCGCTATTTGTTTCGCGTCTTTTTGTCCGTTTCCACCGAAGTAAGTACAAACGTCCTTTGTGCATATTATAGGGCTTACGGTACGATACGATTACGTTCCGATACCGATAGAAAATTCATTCGGTTCTCGCGGAACGCGACAACCGTGCTCAAATTAGCGCGATAGAACTCTGGGAGACACTCGAGTGGAGCTCGATGATCGAATGCTCTTCCGGTTTTGTTTCTGGAAGGCAAACTTCTTTCGATCCGGTCGAAAGAAACTTTTGGATCGAAACGGAATCCTATGGTCGAGAACGGAAGGACAAGACGTTATCCAAAAATCAAAGATTCCAGCGAGGAGCGGGTGAAAAAGTATGCGTTATTTGCACGGGATGGAACGGGACGGTACGAGTCGGGACAGTTACGGTGATGATTTAGGTTTAGGGCTAGGAAGCGCAAACGGAGCTCGCAGAAAGGATTTTAACTCGATTTCCTGACCACTCGCGGGGGTGCAGAGGAGACGCAGCGGAGAGAGGTCGAGCGCAGATGGTAGGGTAGGGTCGGGTCGAGTCGGGTCGGGTCGGGTCGGTGTAACGTTTACCGAGATCCGGTAAATACTCACCGGCGGCTACCAGCTGGAAGAGACACGGTCTCGCCTGTGTACCGACGAAATTGTCCGCCCAGCACGACAGAGTGCCGTAATCCAGCTCGGTGGTTGGCGTGTATCGCAGCACACTAACACCGCTCGACTTCTCCATAGAGAATCTGCCCGGTGCTACTTCCAACGTCTCCCCGCTGTTGTTGAACTTCCATCGGAAATTGTGAGCCGGTGGATCGGCCTCCACTTTGCAAACGATGTCCAACGACTCGCCCCTGGACGCGCCGACGACTATGATTCGATCTTCCTTGCACACCGGAGCGACTGCGAAATCGGAATAATACCATCAGAAACAACGATCGGTATTGAAACTCGCGATTCCGCTTCGTGGTTCGACGTTTCGTTCGATCCTCCGAGGATAGTTTCTCGGTTAAACGCGCTTCTCGTTGCTACGTTTTATGCGTTTAATTGTTTAGAAAGTGGCCGAGTTCCGGAAGAACGGCGTCGAAATTGAAAAAGAGAGGTAGCGCTACGAAGAAGAATAAGATCCACGGGAATGGAACGGTTAAAGAACAAGCTTTGAACACGGAGAGACAGGATCGTGCCTTGAAAGCAAAGGATTCTTGCTTTTTCCCGTTTCGGGGAAGTAAGCTCGTTTAAGAGTTCGGCCAATCTTGGAGAATAATTTGTTGACGGTCCTCGGACACCGCACGATACCGATCTTTAGATTCCCACTCGTCTCCAAGATAAACGAGTTTTATTTTTCTTATTAACTGGCGATTAATCGAGATAATAAAAACGACTTTGGAAAGATAACATAGAGTTCGTTGTCCAATTTCGAGGATCGAATCGAAACGAATAATAAAAGAAAGTTTAAACGAACGAAAACTCTCTCTCTCTCTGTCCGTCTCTCGGTTCGAGTAAAAAGGTTTCGTTAAAACGTAATGTGCCGTTGAGAGCAGAGGAAATGCGAGGAGCGATTGAACGGCCAGAAGTTGAACGAGTTTAGGAAAAGCCATTGTTTGCGGTAATTAACGCGCGGCGACGTAAACGTTTTGCCGACAGTCACCTTAATTCAAAAATAATTCAAAATTTAACGTTTACCGAGATCCGGTAAATACTCACCGGCGGCTACCAGCTGGAAGAGACACGGTCTCGCCTGTGTACCGACGAAATTGTCCGCCCAGCACGACAGAGTGCCGTAATCCAGCTCGGTGGTTGGCGTGTATCGCAGCACACTAACACCGCTCGACTTCTCCATAGAGAATCTGCCCGGTGCTACTTCCAACGTCTCCCCGCTGTTGTTGAACTTCCATCGGAAATTGTGAGCCGGTGGATCGGCCTCCACTTTGCAAACGATGTCCAACGACTCGCCCCTGGACGCGCCGACGACTATGATTCGATCTTCCTTGCACACCGGAGCGACTGCGAAATCGGAATAATACCATCAGAAACAACGATCGGTATTGAAACTCGCGATTCCGCTTCGTGGTTCGACGTTTCGTTCGATCCTCCGAGGATAGTTTCTCGGTTAAACGCGCTTCTCGTTGCTACGTTTTATGCGTTTAATTGTTTAGAAAGTGGCCGAGTTCCGGAAGAACGGCGTCGAAATTGAAAAAGAGAGGTAGCGCTACGAAGAAGAATAAGATCCACGGGAATGGAACGGTTAAAGAACAAGCTTTGAACACGGAGAGACAGGATCGTGCCTTGAAAGCAAAGGATTCTTGCTTTTTCCCGTTTCGGGGAAGTAAGCTCGTTTAAGAGTTCGGCCAATCTTGGAGAATAATTTGTTGACGGTCCTCGGACACCGCACGATACCGATCTTTAGATTCCCACTCGTCTCCAAGATAAACGAGTTTTATTTTTCTTATTAACTGGCGATTAATCGAGATAATAAAAACGACTTTGGAAAGATAACATAGAGTTCGTTGTCCAATTTCGAGGATCGAATCGAAACGAATAATAAAAGAAAGTTTAAACGAACGAAAACTCTCTCTCTCTCTGTCCGTCTCTCGGTTCGAGTAAAAAGGTTTCGTTAAAACGTAATGTGCCGTTGAGAGCAGAGGAAATGCGAGGAGCGATTGAACGGCCAGAAGTTGAACGAGTTTAGGAAAAGCCATTGTTTGCGGTAATTAACGCGCGGCGACGTAAACGTTTTGCCGACAGTCACCTTAATTCAAAAATAATTCAAAATTAACGAGCAGAATTATATCGGCTACGATGCGCGACACGTCGAGCTAAAGCGTCTCGCGCGAAATTCAATCGTTATTCTATCGAAAGGCAGAGCTAGTTGTTCGACGTATGGCCGAAAAGTATGTTCGCGGCGTAGAGTCTTTTCGAAACACCGCGTAGATGCAAAGAATGGAGCAGGGAGCAGAGTCCGTAGTAGAGAGCGGGAAAGCTCGTTTCGGGGTGAACGTGAATAGCCTAAAGCGAATGTCATTCCCAGAAGCCGGGCGACGATGTAATAACCGGGAAACTAAATCCAACATGGTTGACGTTCGATTCGACAAGCTCCGACGAGATATTGCTGCTTATCTCTCCATTCGTTTCTTCGACCTTTACGAGACCCGCGAACGGACTGAAATAACCGAGAATCGCGTTTTAGCCTTGTTTTCGCGACCTATCCATATTCGACGTCGGAAGCGTTCGTATATACGATTTCGCGCTAACCTTCGCGCACGAATTACGGGTTAAGTGGGTAAAAGTACCGAGTAAATGGCGTTTCGTGCATCGAAACGGTAAATATATTTCTTATCGGTACTTTTCTGTCTACTTCGCGTCCTAGTAGGATCCGAGTTTCTTTCTTTGCAGAGTCTGTTTTCTCTCTCGTTTCTTCTCCAGAAATATACGTCGACAAGTTTTTGTCTTCTCTAATTAATCATTTTTCCAAGTTCGATACGTAGATTCGACAAAACGCTAACTCGAACCGTGGATTAAAAGACAAAAAGAAGAAATGTATCGACTCTCGAAATGTCGCTGTTCGAACGTGAGCCGTCCTCGAATATCTCTGAAAAACAAGAAAAGAAAAAATGAATCTTCCGTGTGCATTGTATTATTTTTCCTTTTAAATCCAGGATATTCAATTTGTATACCGGTCTCGAGATACGGAGCAAATCTCATGATTCTCGGGACCGCAGAGAATAGTCGTTCGTTTGCCTCGGCGTAAGCCAGGAATTGGATATAAAAAATGTAGCCAGAACTTAAATGCACCTGAAATATTCAGGTTCGAACGAGAGATTCTTGATACAGTCGTTACGAACTTGTGCATAAAGAGAAAGAGAAAAACTGATTGTCCGTCGTGTGAAGAATTTTCATCGTAGCGGGTTCGGCGTAAATTCGTCTGACCCGAGGCGAGTTTAACGAGAACTTAACGAGAGAAGTCTGTCAAAGACTGGACAGAGATTAAGGCGAGATTCAAACTCCGAAGGTTGAAAAATCGCAGAAATCCGAGAGCTCAGAGTCCCAGAATCCCAACGTCCTCGAGTATGAAAACCGTTGCGTCCACAGTTCCGTGAACAGGGCTTTGGGCGAGTCTGACATAGAACCTAAGAAATTTCGGCAAATAAGAGGAATCCGGTTAACTAAGGGAAGCTTTGGATAGACGGAAATGTCGCGTTTAGAAACGGCAGGTTTTGCTAATAAATAATTTGATATTTCTTGCAAATACTTACACTTGACGCGAAAATGGAGGGGTTCGCTTCTCGTTTCGTTGAGGTCGTTCGTCGCGGCGCACACGTACTTGCCGGCGCTACTCCTCGTCACGCTTTGAAGCACCAGGCTCTGGTTCGACCAGATTATCCTGGCGGACGTGTTGTGCGCCAATATTTGGTTCTGAAAGCAAAGATTTCGATCGTTAAGTTAAGTCAACCGATGTTATGAAGCGACAGTTCGTATCTTTCGTTAGTCGCGCGAATCATTATTTTAATATTAATTCATCGCGAGCTTGATGCACCGCGGTTTCGAATAATTCTCTTATTAAAGAATACGTTAGCGTCGAATATTAACACCTGCCAGGTCATCCAGATACGGTTGACGCGCGAACCATTGTACAATTTTATTTGCACGATCGCGAGATAATTTTCATCCATCGGAATAGCGCTTTAACGAACCGGTTCGTTAAATATAAAATAACCCGCGATTCGAAATATTTCGATAAATTCAAGTTGGACGATCAAAGCGTTAAATACGATAAATTATAAGATTATCGAATCGTTTCGTGGCTGCATAATTCTTCTCGTCGAATTAAAATCGGTCAGCGGTTGGCTGGACGAAGAAAGACAATTTCAGAAGGTTGCAACGAGAATAAAGATACGCTGCGTTTACCGCGTCAACAAGAACGAAACAACGAACGACATAACGCGAAAGATGTAACGAACGTCTGTTTCGAGGTGGCCTAATTAAAGGTAACAGCAGCGTCGGCCAGTTTGAAAAGGACGGCATACCTTGGCGAGACACATCCAAGACAGGGTTACCACCTCTGTGTCTCTTTCCCTTTTCTCCCTTTCCTTCTTTTTTTAACAAACAGAAGGAATACGTCGGTTTTTTTCTTCGCTGTTCGTCGTTGTCATGTTAATTTTCCCGACGAGGTTGGAAATTCTTGAATCAAACGCATTCGTTTTGTCTGCTCGTTAACGGGAACAAAAGAGGAAGAATGGTACAAAAGATAACAGAACTAGCGTTTCTTTTCATCCGGTCTGATTAAACAACCAAGTGTGCAGGATCGTATGATTCTTAGCTAGAACCGTAGCTGATAAGCCGTCGCAGTCTGCTCTTTTGACCTTTCCATGTCGCTCGTCAATCTCCGCGAAAGAGAACACAAAGGATCTAAGGTAATAAAGAGTACCATGGTAGTATTCGTCCGTGGCAAAAGGTCACCCGTTATCTGACAGAAAGTGCCTTTTTGTCTCCTCGTTCGGGACAGTTCGAATCAGTGTTTCTCTTTATTTAGAAAGGAAAGAAATTTCGGGACACTGTACACGTGTATACAGGGTCGTTAGGAACGTATTATATTTTATTCTCGATGAGTTGATTTTGTCGGAAGTAGGCCAGGAAGAAGGAATAAGTAAAGAAATATCTTAAGCGCTCCGTCCAATTGTTTTTCGATTAATCGCGAGCGGCAGTCGATTCGCGAACGACGCAGCCAGTAGAAGAAGCGAAAGGGGTCAGAGTCAGCCAACAAGTAGATAAAGTCGAGACAGAGTGTCCGGTCGAAGATCTTGCGACTACATATGTAGTTCTTTCGTCAGTTGGTTTCTCCGTTTTCTAACTAAAAACGGAAGCGTCGTCTCTCTCTACTTGATCGCCTCCTCCATTACATCCACAGATTCTCCGCCGCGTCTTCCTTCTTATCCGGATTCGGTCGGAAGATAATTCGAAATCGATTAGAAACGAGGTCATTTGAATCTCGAAGAAGATAGAACAGACCGAAACTTGCCCGTTTTCTTGCTTTCCTGTTTTTTCTTCGAATACAAGATTATAATTGTAGACCGCGTCTTTGATCGCTTTAGCCATCGACTCGATGCGATGGAAGAATAATACTCTTCGGTAATCGAACAACGGTGTCGAGTAGTTTTTCTTCCAATTCTTATCGAGAACTGTTCAGTTTCATTATGGTCGAATGTTCGTAACTCGAATTCTATCGATTCGATATTCGAGACACGTTAATTCGATCAACGCGTATCTCGATAATGTTCCTGTTTCGGTGTCGGGAAAAACTTCGACCCGGTTAGCTTAGGTCCTGCAAGGCTACGGGGTTTAGTTAGACTTACTTAGCCGGGAAGGCTCGTTAAATTTCAGGCTACTTGCTTTACTCGAGCGTTGCGAGAGATCGTTAGCTTTCCAGACTGTTCGAAACATCGCGAGCAAGAGCGAAGCATCGATAAGCGAGCGTCGATTCGGCCGGTGTCCGAATAATCGGCCGTAAAATTTCGTCGGATAGAATGAAAGAGTAAGGTGACGCGACGATAGAGATACGTGTTGCTCGAATCGCGAGGTACAACGAACGAATGCGTTTCTAAGGTACGAGCACGAATCGGGAAACTGGCACGAGCAAAATAGGCACGCGTCAATGATTTCGAACAATCGTAAACACACATCTGATTCGGTCGACCGACAACTTTGCACGCGAGGTACATTGAACGAGCGACAATTAAAATTCGTTTGACGTCGCATCGAGCGCGAGCGTAACGCGGCTGGCTCGACGAGACAGCATGCATAATGAGATCGTAAACGAGAGCGTTAATTAGAACACCTTAAGGATCGCCTGGCAAGACTGGTTCTCCGTTATTAATTCGATTTTCTTCGCACGGTTTCAGGGAAAACGAGAACCAGCTCCTTTGATCGTGCCGGATCAGCTACGCGAAGCATTTTCGTTCGGCTAATCAGCTTTCATCGGGTAAACTGGAAACAAGCAACTTCCTAGTTAAATCCATTGGCGAGGTGTGCGGACACGCGGCGAGACACCTCCGGCTTCTTTAGTCCATCGACGACTCTAATTGCATCGACGAGCTAACTCGATCAGTGATTCTTTTCTCGCGCGGCGTAAAAGTTTCCGCGAAGAAAAAACACGACGTACACCATGGAAATAGAAATCTCTAATCTCCGGTATGCGCCGATCCTCGAGGATATGCCGTAGCGCGCGTTAGTACACGACGAAAATATCGCTGCGAACGGTTGAAAATTTAAGAACGGAGAAAGCTGCGGATACAAACGAAGCGAGGGAAGGCAAGAAAATTAGCATGCATACCGAGCAACTTTCGAGTTAATGAAGACCAAGCGGGCTGATTGCACGCGATCTTCGTTGCCGGTGATGGATCGTTGTAAAATGAAAGAGAAGAAATAACGGTTCGACCGTTCGTTGGCGAAAAAGAAGAGAAAAAAAATACAATTTTTCTGGCTGAACGTTACGACAATACCGCGTCTTATATAATGAGTCACGAAATCCTCGCTCACAAATCTTCAGGTTGGAAGCTGTTCGAGTTAAGGGTAAGACGGAACAATTTTTCTTACCGAAACTTCTTTCTTTTCGGGGAAAATAAATAGTATCGTAAGGACGGGCGCGTCTAACGACAGGCAACGTATTATCGCGAATGACCTTGTAAAAATCAGATGCAGAAAGGTTTATCACATTTCCAACCCGGTTAAACTTCGATACCGTGTAGCGTCGAATGCTGCGAATTCAAATATTTTTTCTAGCTATAAAGACACGGTTTTATCGGCGACAAGACGATCCATTCTGCCGCGATAAAACCCGAGAAAAAGAGACGAGGGCAAGGAGATTATTCGAGCGTTATAGTAGTCGCCACTTACAATTAGTGAACACTATAGTTTCAAATACGTATACCGGAGTACAAAGTATATAACCTATGTAAGTCTATAACCTATCATTTGTTCCACACTCGGCTCAGTCAGAGCTAACTAATCGTTTTTCCGATACAAAGATAAATATCAAGTTAAATAAAGGAAATTGAAATGTTGATTCGATTAAATACAAATTATGTCCCGCGTGTTCGGGTCGTCTTCTTGACGCGACGTAATATACAGGTTAGGGTTTTCCTTAGCTTTTCTCCATTCTTTTCTCCGCTTCTTTTTCTGTTAGTCAAAGAATAGTCTAGGTTTTTCGTTGATCAAGTTAAACGTGACATGTAACGAATTCTACTTTCGACAATAATCGAATTTCCAAAACGAATATGTACATTCTTAAAAGGAATGAAGCGCGATAAGAACGCGAAATTCCGGTACACTAGTATCCGACAGGAGATAACAATCCTCGCTAACAAGATCACAATGGTCATTCGTTCGAGAGCCGAAAGAGAGGATTTTCGTTCGTCCGTTCGATATAATCCTGGACAAGGATAAATAGACGCGTCGAGGAAAAAGAACGATATCGCTGAAGAATGATTCGTAACGAGAAGACACTGGTAAACAGCTCATGACCGACGCGACGAACGAGCCGAGATGAAATGATTTTGTAACTCGTTCCCTCGTTCGGAGAAGAATCGAGGAAGGAAGGAAGGAAGGAAGAAAGGAAGGATGTAAAGAAGCACCACGAAGACCACGAATTGTTGGCAATTTTTCAAGGAATCAGTGCACCGTCTGACCGGAATGAACGTCCGCCTCTCTTCCTTTAGCCACTTCACCCCTTTTTTCCTCGCTTTTCTGGCATCCAGCGAGAAGAAAGACGAAGGGAAGGAAGAAGACGAAGGAGAAGCTTGCAGCGAACGAGTCGAATTCTCGACGGAGAGTCGCGGCCGTTCGAGCTGACGGCATCCCAGGCCGACGAGAATCTTTCTTGGATCGAAACGCGAAAAGAAATTCGATGAATCTTTCGGATAGAAGTGAAGCGGATCGACGAGATTGAACGAGCACGATATTCCGAGGTTTTGTTGTCGACGATTCAGCTCGGCGAGAGGAATTCAACTCGTAATCTGGTGTCGTCGATAACATCCTCGTTCGTTCGACCAAGGGAAGACGAGCTTAACGCCCAAGGAAACAATGCGGAACATAAAGGATTCCGGATCTCTTGGAAAAACCGTGACGAATGGTGCGTCGGCGTCAACCGAAGTAAGTTCGAGCAATTCGAGGTTGCCCAGGGCAAACACTTGGTCGCCTAAGTAGCTTTCTCGAAGTATACGTTCGCAAGACGGGACGTCGTAAGACGCACGATAGTTCGAAGAAGGACGACGATACCTTTAGCTACCGTTAGAGGGCTGCGTGAACAGAATATCGAGAGAACCTGTACGAAAGGACGGTTAACACCTACTTTATGTAACGGCGCGTCGCGAGACAATACCGTGGTCTATTGTACCGCTACGGGTCTACGTACCACGTGCTACGAGTAATTCCAGCCTTATTCCGGATTCCGAATATTCTGAAAATGAAGCGGCAGGCTTTTGGGCTTCGTTCCAACTTCCTCTTTCCGCGGCTAGACCCGCGTTCTATAAAATCGTGCACTTACTCTTGCCTGTTTCGAACCGAACCGACAACTTTTACTCCCTACGCTGTACACCCTTGTCAACCTTCGGATATCGTTATCCGTCGGAACGTTTTAACCTTCCCGTTACGGGACAGGATCAGCCGTGACTCTGGTAGTTTCAAGTTATCGAAGGTAGTCAGATTTCGAGAGTTCGAGACGACAACGGTAATTAGCGTTCGATCGTCGAAGAAGTTCGGGAATAAAAAACCAAGTCGGCTGAAGGTCTAACGAACAGATCGGAATCCTTCTAAGACTCCGACGAGACTATTTTGCGAGCGTATCCGTCTTCTTTAAGGAAGTTCCGAACGGTAAGCGAGATTACAAGGAAGAAGAAGGAGGAGGAAAACGAGCGCGGAAAGAACATTTAGCAACGTTTCGTTCGCGTAGGAGAAAAAGTCCGGTGATCGTGATCGAACGAAAGCGAAACGTTCTTCTGGCTCGTCGCGCGAACGCATTACGGAGCGTTACGGAGCGTTACGGGGCGGCGACTTTAAGCGGAATTCCGGCACGGTAACTCGCGACGCCGGGTGAAATTGATCGATGTACGGGCCGTCGAGTACGAGCGTCGGGTGTTGTCGGTATCGAATCTCGCGCGAGAAGGAAATGCACTCGACCGATTCATTGCGAGAAACCCTATTACCCCGTTGTTGCCCCGCCTCTGATCGGTACACAGAAGCAATAACGTCGATTTGGAAATCAAATAATGCCGGGCAAACCCTCGTTGGAATTTAAAGATTCCACGAGAAACGTCGTTGTATTACTTCGGTCGGACTCGCAGTCTTCTGGAAAATTCGATCTCGGGACCGGGTTGTCACCGCTGGAATCTGCTCCGAGCGTCCGTGCGCCATCGCCGTTTTTTAATTCGGCCCTTTTTGGGGAAAGAGTCCGTATCGATCTCGCCATCGACGAGATTACTCGACGCGTTAAAGGACATAACGTCCGGATAAAAATGAAAGGATACGCGCGAAAAGAGCGATCGGGGAAGAGTGTTAATAGGGTTCTTCCGGTAACCGGTCAATCCACTTTGCGAAGAAAGATGAAGAGGCAGGAAAATGTTTCAACGTCTCTTCCCTGTAGAGCCGATTGGTTCGTCGATACTTGTTCGCGTAGCTGCAGAACCTCTTTCTCTATTGTCCTCGTGAATGGTACAGCCCAGCCTAATCACTCTACCCCATTATAGACCTCTATCTCTCTCTTATGCTTTACCTACTTTCTGCCTTTTCCTTCGATTCTACTCCGTAGAACCCTCTTTTGCCTTCGACCCATATTCCACTCTGCGCTACGTCCCGTTTCTATCTTTTCTTCCTTTCGCTGCTAGTCTTTCTTCGTTTTTACGATCGCCATTCAAGAGGTTACTGCTTCTGGCAATGGCTCGAAGCGTTTTTTTAAGACCGACAGTTCGAGAAGGAATCCCGGCCCGATTGGTACCTTGGGATTGATTGGCAGATAGAACGTGCCGATGGGCTTCCCGTAATTCCTAGGCAAACCCGTTCTAATCGGCCGAGAAGAGATGTCCCTTCGTTCACGGAGATTTACGACTCTCTTTTATTATCATTATTATCGGTATTGTTTCACCGTTGTCGGCGATATTTCATTTTATACTACTCGGTACATGGAGTTTTGCGCTCTGTACTTGTATTAATATCGCTAGCTACCGACAGTTAATTATTCTATTATTGTACGGTCACCTTATCGGGTAATATTATTATCGCGAATGTGCCATCAGCGTTTATTTCTTCAGGGAGGTCGTTCCGTCGATGCGATACGGTGATCGATCTTCGAATCGATAACGGTAGCTTTTAGAAGGAACATCGGAATCCGTGAAAAATAGAAACTGAAGGCGCTCCGCTGGGAATCGAAGCCGAGATTCTGGATGTTGTAACCTCTGCTAACCTCCTAGAGACGTAGGTCGACGGTTTTCGTTTGATTCGATGTTTCGCGAGCGCGCGTGTCTGTCCGTCGACGCCCGACGTCGTTCACTCTTTTATAAACGGTTTATTTTAATCCGAGCTGTAAGCTTCTTTCCCTGAAAGTTACTATTTCGCGTAAAGCATCGATCGAAATCTGACAGCGTCCAATTTTACGCGTCACGATCGGATACGATAATAAAATTCAGTCGTGAATTCCTGTCGGGAACGAGGAAGTGTATTCCATGTGTTCTGGACCGCGTCACGAGTATCATCGGATATTACGAGATCATATAACTATTATTAAATAGAGTTTTAAATTACTCCGAATGAAGCCACACCGACCTATTTCCGTCACCCTGTCAATTTCATAATTTCCGGGCTAAAATATTAACACGAGTGACGCAGCGAATCGAAAAGATGTATGGCGAAAGATCTACGTCGAGTAGACAGAATTTGCGGAGAAAATGGCAGAGATAGGTAGAGGGGACAATCTCTAAAGCGAGACACGAGAGGAAAGCCAAGGTTACGACTGTTCTCGAGAAACGAAGTCGGTTCATATTTTTAAGATGCAATTTCGACGGAAATCTCTTACGTTGTAGCAGCTGCTACCGTCTCGCCATTAGCCCACCTCTTCGTCCCGGTATCGTTCGTGAACTACGACACGTATCCGCGGAAAAGATCGTCCGACCTTTAAACGCGAAGAAAAAAAATCAAGACGAACGCGAACGGAAGCAAAGCGGTCGAAACGCTATACATTGTACTACGTACGCGTGTATTGTAGCTATGTATACACCGACCAGATATTAAGATATTAAAATGGTCGCGCAACGGTATAAATTGTTTATGGATAGGGGTGCTTCGAATCGAATTCGTGCAGAGTGTATAAATTTCGAATGCAAATGTACGACAACGGATCTCCGAGCCATCGATGTACGCCGATTACAAATAGCAGGTTCGGTTCTTGTCGGAGAAATTGTCGAGAAACCAGCGAGAAAACGAAGCAATGAGAAATAATGGAAATTCAGTTATTGGACTCGTTCCCGGCGAAATTAATGTACCGACTCTTAACGAGGAAAAATGTAAAAACTTTCCGTTCATCCTAACGAACGTAATTCCGCGTATAACGACGGGAAAAAGGAAAGGAAAGGGAGAATGAATGAGTGGTGTGCAAAGTCTTTTATCGTTGCTCAACGTAAATCCGCGAGATGATCGGCTTCCAACGTAACGCGTTTCATGGCGCACGGTTTTAAGTGTTCGCGTTCTAACGGCGCTCCACGAGATCGAGTCTGCCGAACGATCTCATATATTATGCAAATAAAGGATTTAAAGTTTTACCTAGTGCTCGATATACGAGCCAGTGCACAAGCGCGGCGGGTGGCGAGACGAAACGAAGCGGATAAGAACGGAGTCTTCTTACTCTCGCGGATGTCGTCGCGTAAATTATCCGAAACGTTGCGACTACGCTCTCGTAACTTTTTCCTCGGAAATTTTCGGGGAAAATCTGCACTTATTTTCTGGACAGTAATTCGCGAGAATCGTAATTCGCGACTAGGACTAGCGCGCGTAATCCTGGAATTCCACATGCATATACGTACGTCGTGTATCCACGTCAACTTGGACCAAGGTGGATTGGCTCTAATGTGACACTCGAAGTAGACGTCGTCGCCTTCCTTGATGTCTTCCGGACTCAAGGTCGATCCGAGGTTCAACGACACGATCGGCGGATCTGTAATCATTTATCTTTCCGTTAATTGAACGGCAGCGCTACATTTAGCTGTAGGACGCGTTATTAAAGCAACCGATGAAGCTGTTAATAATAGGCGAACGACTCGAAGCCGATAATGGATGGCAGAATAGCCTTTTACTTCTTTTTTTTCTCTCCTAGAGAGAGGGAATAAGATGAAGGGCTTTGATACGTTTTATCGCGACGGTAGGCTCCACCCTCGTAGAATTTCATCAACTTGATACCTCGAGGCTTAAGGCGCGCTCGCCCCCAGCACGTGGCAACCTATCCGCTCTACGATTTACGCGTCCATGGCATAGTCGCTGTACTAGAATGTACTATAAAAACACGTAGTGGCGTTTCTAAATAAGATCGAACCCTTATAGGAAAGGACAATGGACTCGGTTTATTTTCAAAGGAGATACGTCGCGCCACGCGATTCTTTTTGCCACACCCCTCAGGAATTCCGGTATTTTCTCGCGCTGCTTATATCTCTTTCATTTACCGTCTTCATTAGTTTAATCATACCGCTCCCGCCCTGTTGGTCTCTTTTCTAGCCCGGAGGAGGAGTTTATTCTTCCAGCGTTCTCGCAGAATTTTATCGCGCACCACGATAAATTCCCTCCGTTTCCACTGGCTCTTCTTTTTCCCCCATGCTCCTTGTCCACGGTGTACACCGTTCTTTCGAGATTGTATTAATTAGCTTGATCGCGTCCTTTCCCTCCGCCATTTCCGACTACCCGTCGCTTTTTAACCCTCGACCCTTTGTTGCATCGTTGTTTCCTTGTCCCTTATTTTTCCGCTGCTCTTCGCGAACCGACAAGATCCTTTGCTCGAGGATCGCAATAAATTCCTCCCTCGACCTCTGCCGGTTTCATTTTCTTCCTCGTTTCTCGCGAATCGAGAGCTCGTACACGACTCGAAAAAGCCGGGGCAGACATGTCGGACCGAGGGCAACCGTGTAATTCCAGTGATACCGTGCAACGGTCAACGTAATTGGATACGCGACGTGACGTCATTTCCCATACCATACCGTACCAGCTTCTTCTTAATACCTTTACGAAGATACACGAGGGCTGGACGAAATAAAGCAAGTTTTAACGAGAGCCAAAAGTCTGTCGATAAAATTGCCGATGTTAGGGTAGTCGTTAATCGAGTAGCGAAATATATTTACTCGGTGGCGATCAGGAAACAGATTGCTTCAACCTCTTCCTTATGACCGCGTAAATCGTCGCGATTCCTGCTCGAGGAAATTGTTCGCGCGGCCACGTTCGCCCGTTCGTTAGAAAGTCGATATTAAGAATACAAAGACGATCCGACATATTCTGGCGTTATTCCAGCCAGTGGAAACGAAGCGAGGTCCCGATTTCTTCCTCGCCACGATCTTTTACGAGCGTACGTAAATGCATATTCGATGATTTCGACGCCCGGAACATGTTCCTCGTTCAGTCGACGGCCTTTAATCTATGCATATGCCTCGCGCGAACATCATAAAAGACTAAAGTATCGGTGGAAGGTCTGCGTGTCCCTTCGACTCGTCTTTCGTGGTGGCGGATATCGTGAAATCGGCCGATTTACGAGTCCTTTTACGTTCCGCACACTCTTCTCTACTCCGCTTACGTTCTTTTCGTCTCTGTCCTTATCTCCTTCATCCTGCATACATCTATCCTCTTTTCTTTTTTTTCCTTTTACAGCTACGATAAAACAGCCTCCGTCGGATTTCGGGCGAATTACAGCCGAAATTCAACGAGACCGATCGCTGCGTATCTTCGCGGAACCGTTCGGTACTCTGGTTGATCGTAAAACGAACAAAATATATCTATATATTGTATATGTATACGTATACGCGGTGTATAGCAACGGGCAGCTCGTAAAAGAAAAGATGCTACCAAAGAATTTTCCTTTTTTTCGCTAATTCGTTCTTCCATCTTCCGATTCGTCAGCGTTTCGCTACTTTTATCTTTTAACGTTTCTATCGAGGCTTTTGTATGGCCGATTACGTAACCGAATCAATAGTATTAACGTTATAAATGACCAGTGTTCGTTAGCGGTTCGAATAACGAAGAATTTCGCCGCAAAAACGTGAAAATTGAAAGGGAAATTTAACGAAACGAACGTCGATAAGCTATCGTATACTAATTCCATACTTACAGACGACGTCGATTTTCCAGGACCTCTCAACAAATAGTCCCGTCACGTTCGGATTTTCAGCCCTGCAGGTGATCGATTTCCCATGGTCCTCCACTCCAGGTTCGAATTCCACCATGCTCACTGTCCGATTTTCTGATCGCTCGTCCTGCGTAACGCAACCCCTTAGTTATATACGTACATATACGGCTACTCGAAAATCATGCGTTTTTCCATTTTAGAAAAATGTTCGAGCCAGTAAGCAAACGTTCGAAGGAAAAAAAGTGAACATTTGAAAGGACGGTAAACCGATGCTCGGCTGCCTGGAATCCTCTTTCGTTATACAGCCAGAGTATTTCTCGAGTGGGTACAGCGAATCTTTCGATGGATTTTACAAATTTTTCCATGCGAAAATTTGTCTACGAGTAGCTTCCGATCCCTCGTTTACCAAGAAAATCGCTATTTCTCGAGAGGATCAAATTAATCTTCTTAATGTTTTTTGACAATATTCCCGGTGCAAAGATTTTCTGATCCCCTTTTCCCCCCTTCGTTGGGGAAAAAGAAAGGCGAGAATATTCCGAGTATATCAAACGTTTTTCATGATTTTTACAAATTTTTCTACCCTGGATTTTTCCCTACTCTCGGTGGAATGGCAAAATCTTTAGCACGGTACTTTCCTGGCTCGAACAAACGTAATTTCTAAAAATAATATCGTGGAATCCGTTTGAAGCGGCGCGCCGCTTCAATTCCGCGGCGCAAGACGGCGAGAAACGAGTACGCCAGTTAGAAGATAAAAAGGGGAAAAGAAGAAAAAGTAAAAGGGTTGAAGGGGGTTGGGAACGAGTTCGACGGCAACTCCCGCTATGGTTAATTTTGGTTATATTAAGGTCGAGAGGCGGACCGTAAGCAACGCTTGGCAACATCTGCTGGAAATTCATTCGTGCTGCTAGCCCGGATTCGAAAGGACCCGGAGTCCTGCTAACGCCGTTGCTGGAATCCTTTCTAAAGAGAGCGCCGCCCCACCGCGCCGGATTCCACCGAGCGTGAATTTTACCGGCAACCAGCACCAGCTTCTGACGCGAGATTTTAGCGTCGCGTCGCGCCACGCCGCGTACCGTTGCACCCTGTTTTTCCATTTATTTTCCCAGCGACGCCGACCGGTACCGACGCTACCAAAAAAACCGCCGCGACCCCCTCGGTATTTCGTTTCAAAGCGCGTCACTCGATACCGCGTTCGGCTCCAACCTAAACTTTCTTCGCTTGGACGAGCTTTCTTCTTCTCTCGCGTCTCTGATATCTTTTACTTAATTCGTCGAGTTCCGTCGAATACCCTCGAGTTCGAGCGCTTTACGAACACGTTTAATGCGTGCCAGTATTAACAGATTATTCCATTACGCGTACAAAATTCACTGGCGATACGACGTTGGCTTTCGCTCATCGTATTCGACCGCCGCGCCGCGTCGAAACGAAATCGAAAACGATGGGCATATCGGATTAAGGACACGGTACAACGGTTTTCGACAAATAATTCGTATTCTCGTCGGTCGATAACTTTCGATAAAATTCGTAGGAAACGAATTCGAGCGACGAATAAAAGGAGAAAAGACGTAAGAGGGAAGCAAGGTTGAAAGGTTTCGCGATATTTCGTTTCGAAATGTTTGTACGCTCTTAAGGGGACGTCTCGAGAGAACGGGGAATAAGGATAATACAGGTGTTCTATCGTAGTTATCTGGTCGCTAACGAAACGCTTTCTAGCCGAGTCCACGTAACACGATAGGACGCGACGGGACGGAACGACGAACGGTTAAAGACAGTCTCGGATGACTATAGGATAATCAGGATGGTAACGCGATAGAAACGGCGTACGTGTTCCGTCGCTCGTAGGACCTGCTTACGTTAATATCTCTCTGTTAGCTTGGCCGCGGCGGCCTCCTCGTTTCCCGGGATAGACCTCTTCTTCTCGCGGCGCAAAGCCTCGCTACGAGGTTATATTTTATTATCCGACGCTTAAAGGTCGTGCCAAGAGGAATTTTAAGGAGGTACCTTCCGCGTCCTCCCTTCTCGCTCGTTTATCTCTTTTTCCTTCCTGTACGCGACAAATTACCGGAAGCCGAGTACGAGATGGTCAGATTATCGATAATCCGGAATCAGAAACGACGCGTTGTCTGGTACAGGTTGACACGCGGTCCTAATTAATTTCGCGTAGTTGATTAACAAGCCCTGGCCAGAACGCTTAACTCTATCCGTCCGGCAACAGTCTCGCAAAGCTTCCTGTTCGCTGTTCACCGAGTCCTCCGTCCTTCTCTGTTCCTGCGCATAGACCAAGACTTTGCTGTACGGGCTGATTAACGGGGTAAACGACAGACACCGATGGAAACGCGGCTGAATTCTAATTCGAGCAAAACAGCCGTCGTGTTTCCGTGACGAGGCTACCGCCCGGCTGTTGGAACCTGCTTCCATCTAACTTTTATGCGGTGAAATTAAAATTCTTTGACGACCCACCGACCAGATACGTGTGAAGATTCACCGATGGAACAACTCCTTGTCTCGCATCGAATATTCGAGGAACGCAGGGAATTTTAATGAATTCCGGAACACCTGATTTTTCTCTTTTCCGCTAGCTAAATGATCGTTGCAACGAGGAAAACAGAAGCGACAGTCGATCGGTTAGGTTGGCGGCTTCGGGGGCTCGCGACCATCCGATAACGTAACGGGAATCTATTCAATTTTTATCGAATGAAATTTCTGCGACGCGTAATCGTTTCTGTCTAATATCGGACAAACAATTTCTAATACGAATTCGAGTTTCGATCGCGCCTCGTGTTGGACCATTGACGGCTGGAAGTCGGGTGAAATGTTTCGTACAGACTGGTGAGAGCGGCTTAACTCTCGTTCGCTTGGTATTCCGGCGAACCGACGGAAACGCGCGCTCCGACACACTGCTTACGTACATTATCGGCGAGTATCGAATATTCCCATCGACCTAGACGCCGATTTTCGCGCTCTGCTTTCGGAAGCAGCTAAAAGGGCTTCTAACTTTGTAACGCATCGCGGAGTTTGCCGGGAAACTGGTAGTTATGGCTTTCGAATCCACCAGAATTCATCGGTTCTGTGTCAGTCTTTCTCTTTTCCTCTTTTCCTCTATGAAACTGTATGGCTCGGTTAAATACTCTTCCTGTACTTTATCGATATTCCAAATTTTACATCTACAAATGCGTATGTTTATTTTAGAATTTTTCAGGAATAGAAGAATATCGAGTCTACCTGTGTTTAAAAGCGCGATAGGACAATGCTGTCCTTCGCGATGCGTGAAGGACAAAAAGTGGAATTTTGTGTTACGCAATGTATTGTGGCAGGTTGATTTCGAAGGCAATATCGGTGCTTTCGCGAGTGTATTATTGGAAACGTCGAATATCAGAGGCTCGCATTGCGCCGTTTAACGGATCGAACAGCCTTTTCTATATCGAATCCTCCAAAATACGGCATATTCATAGCCGGATCTACGGCGCGTCTCGAATCGTACCAAGCTCGTTATTTTTCCGTGCTCGATAAATTTCGAACGGTCCGGACAACCGAAGTAAATCCTTTCGCGAAAGTGTCGCTTGATTTTTGCTTACTTTCCATAATTCCGTTTACCGAACACACAATTTTTTCTTTTTTTCGCTTGCTATTATCCCCGTACTCGTGTGGTCGTGCTAGTAAACGAATAATTTTCCTTCTTTACCGAGACATAAATATAATTAATTTGCAACGCGTAAAAATCGATGTTACGATCGAACAAAAATATTAAGGTACATAGTTTGGAAAATCAATAATGACAAATAATTTCTGTTTAAACGCCGAACTCTCGATAAATTTGATGGTGCAGCTTTTTGATGGGGATACGCAAACATCGAAACGCGAGAAATTAACGAGCATAACGAGAAACGTATTGTATCCGAGGTTACAAATAAAGGAAAGAACGAAAGATCGAAAAGGAAAGAACGAATCAATGTCGTATAACAATGTTGCTGGATCGAGCGAGAAACTCGTTTTTCTCGGAGGAGAATCGTTCTTTTTAAAATCGAATAAATTGATTTTTCTCGTTTCGTTCTCGGTTCGCAGAAATCGAGACTCGAATGTTCGCGCACTAGCAAGAAAGCTAGGATTTAGACGAAGCGTCGCGAGTAAGAGAATATTATGTTCGTTGGTTCGATTTCGGGTTAAAAACACGCGTGTCGAATAATTCGGCAAAGGTTTGGAAAAAATGGTTAGCTCGCGTTTTTGTATAGGATCGTATAGGGGCGCGGCGCGAAGTGGGTTCGAAATCGTCGAAATCGGGATCGCTTAATTGGCAATTAGCATGGCGCCAATGAAAATATCTGGAGTCGACAGGTGTGGTTGCTTAATTCAATCGACTCTCCTCGAAAGCACCGATCGTACCTTTCAACCGCCCCCCTTTGACCTCCATCTATCCGGCGCAACCACTTCTTCTCTTTTCATTGCTCATACAATCGGACGCGACCCCGAAAGCTGTCGACTTCGAATCCAATCCGTTTCGAGCAGACCTAACCCAACCTAACCTCTTTCTACTTCTGTCCCACCGGTTCGTTTTCGTCCTCTTCTCTTCGTCTTTTCCATCGCTTCGACTCTGTTTCTACGCCTTGAGAAGCTTTCCCGAGGGAAAGATTCGACGCCAAGGGGTATAGTTATCGGTTCCCCGGAGCGTTTCGACCTTTTCAACCTTTCCTCCTCCTCGTCTGTTTCCTACTCTCGATGGATATATCCTTTTCTGTCTACCTCTACCGAGACACTACGGACCTCTTTCGACGCGACTCTATCTGTCTTTGATTTTCCTTTTTCCCCTCTCTCTCTCTTTTCTCGTAACTCTGTTCGAGGCAGTAGCGGAAAATCGAACTGGCCACGATTTAGCTACTGTCCTCGAATAGCTCTTTTGTCCAGCAGTTGAGGAATCGTTGCATAGTTCTCGTCGGGAATCGCGCAGATTCGTTACATACGGATTGCTTTTGTTAGTTTAATCAGTCGCGATACCGCGTTCGCCGAGGCTCCACCACGAGGTATTTCAACGAATGCGAAAACGAGGTGAAATTCCGAAATAAACAGCTTTCAAGGTTGTACCGTTTAGAAAGAGTGCTGTGTATCGAGTCGGCTCGAACGCGAGCAAAACGATCGAAAGCGTTCCAGGATGATCGAGATTCACGAGCAGATACCGTTCGCAATTTCGCGGTCGAACGATACTAAAAATTTCGTCAGATTAATCGAGCTTCACCGGAGTGCCGCTATCTCGGTTTACGAGCAAGAGCATTAAGCTTCGGAAGCGGGCAACAGACGTAATTTACGAGACATTCTGATTTAAATTTCAAGGAAGTGAAATTGAAATACCTTAGTGTCAGCACGCGTTACCGTATTTCATCCTAGCTAGCTAGCCAGCTAGCGTCCAGCCCTCGAGAACGGGTCAGGTTAATTAACAAGCACCGGGACCAACGCGGCACCGGCTATAATAAGCAGCTTAGCTGTTAATTAAATGCCGTGGTTGCCTTTTGTTCCGCCACCGGGACGCGGCAAATTCCGTCAAGGCGATTCGCTAATAATTAGCAAACGATAACGAACGGATTATCGGATTCCAGTCGACCGAATAATGCTTAGCTATCGACGGACAACTGCGAAATAATATTTTCGACTAGCGACGTTAACCATTTTTTTCGTTTCGAACCAAACCGACCACTCTATTCGGTTAAACTGTCGGCCAGGAAATTTTTGCGGTACGAGTTCTGGTCGCTCGAGATTCTTCAATAAAACCAGGAGAAAAGGGAACGGGGGAAAAACGAGTGGTCGAAAATCGAAAGAGAAGACAAATTAGCTATTTATTAGAAGATTTTCTCTCACCGTGGTGTGCTTTAGTTGTCTTCTTCGTCCTTTGTACCAAGTGATCACCGCCGGCGGCCTCGAACCCGTGGTCTCGCATTCCACCTCGTATCGTTTTCCTGCCAGCAGAGATTCGTTTCCGACTCCTTTTCTCCCCGGCCTTCTTATCATCACCGTCAAAGGTTTCACTGTAAATCGACAAGGTTCGTTATGCGCAGAAAAATCGAAACGAAAACGCTTTCTACTCGCGAGCAGTGGCTACTCGTTCGAAACACCGGACTAACACAGGGGGATACGTAGCGTGTACCAGGTAGACGAGTACGTATCCGGTCCGATCGATGAAAAATCGTTTCGATTTCGAACGAGTCGCGTCGTTAGCCGAACGACATAATGCCTCTCCTCCGTCCTGTTTTTTTCGAATCAGCGAGTCCCGCAATCACGCGGACCGATGACGCTAATCGGGCGCGATAATTAAAGCGAACCGATAATTAAGGCGGATAAACGAGCTGGGTCTACGCGAGTTCGATGCAAATTGTGCGGCCGATTTAACGCGGTAAAGTTTCGACGGGTCAATTGCCAGTCATTTGTCATTATCGAACTTGCCAACGAGAAAAATCGAAACGGAGATTCGTCCGTGTCGATAGGTATGGTACGTGCTTATCGATACCTCGAAACTCCGTTTGTTTTCGGATCGAAAAAAGCGACGAGCGTAGGCATCGCTACAGCAGCGTCACGAGGATATTTGCCGATTTCTTGCCGAGTTTCAGCTGGATAACCGATCATTACTCGTGGTAAACATTGATTTTTCCGGGTCGTGTGTAAACGCTCGGAACGATAGTCGTTCTCGCGTTACGGCCGAGGCGACGATCGCTTTGACGGACGATAAATTCGCGTTTCCAATTGGCCAATACCGGCCAGATACGATCCATTCGCGCGTGAAATATGAAAACTATGAAAACGCGTTCGTGTACGTTGGCTCGGCTTTGTTCGCCTCCTACCAGCCGCTATAATGAGTTTCGATATTTCTCTTCCCGTTTACTGCTTCGCTCCGATTTAGCGAAAATCCTTTTTCTTCCAAATGTCAACTTCGAACTTTCACTGTTTTCGATCGTCTTTATGGAATATCGTTAGTTCGACTCTAGTCCGTCACGAAGTAAGTTTTCCGAGAAATCGTTGCGCAAGTAATTGTTCGACGAACAGTAAACTCGTGCGTCCCCGCGCGAAAATTTCATCCGTCCGATTTCCAGAATCGCCATCCTTTTCGATTGTCCGCAATCTCGTCGACCTTCTATGCCCGTTGGCCCACCGATCCAATGGTTTGCCTCGTCATCGTTCAGAGTATTTTTTTTTTTTTTTTTTTATTTCTCATTCGTTTTTCGTTCCAGCAGCCATGAGATGAATACACGCTCGATGCATGGTCACTTGGTCCAGGTCGCGAAAATCAAAGAGCGAGCATCGATCAATCTCTTTCTATCTTTGTTCGCTTTAGCGATGTCTTCCTCCTTCTTGTATCGTACACCGAACCTTTCTCTCTCTCTCTCTCTCCGCTCGTTTCGTTGTCGCTGCGCACGAAGCGCTTTGGACTTTTTTTTTTTATTTTCGTTCGCCGCTATGATGGGTGTTCTCGTTCACCAATAACGGGTCTTCAATTTCGTCGTCCGTTTCGCCGAAAATTTCGTGACTTTCGGAAGCACCGATCATTCGGCGCCGATCAATCAGCTCGGTGTCGCTGTCCTTTTCGCGGAGTTCGTAGCAGGTAGATGACGGAACGACGAACAACAACGAGAGGAGGAGACGCGTGGCGACACGACGCGACTCGATACACGGAAACGCGATAGAAGCCGATGCGATACGCGATCGAAAGATCGAGTTCGAAAGATGATCGAACGTCGTTCTCGAGGTGATCTCGCAAGGAGATAGTTACGACGAACGCGTGTCGACCGACGAAGATCGAGCAGCAGGAGCCGTTACCGTAAATTGTTGGTTCGTTTATTCGTCGAAGACGAGCTCGAGACTGGGGGATCGGAACGGAAAGGCCTTCCGGGCTTTGGCGAATCGTCTTCGCTTCGACTTTCTTTCCCTCGTCATTGTCGTTACAACCATGCTCGCTTTCGGCAAGACCGAGTCTTCGCTGCTAGATTATTGATCCATGAATTTTTCAGTTTACCCGCGAAATTAGTATCCCACCGCGCCGTTTCGTCCTATAGGACGGTCACGAGTTAACGAACAATTCTAATTTCGCGAAAGCTCGGAGGTTATAGCTCGCTTTCGTGGCTTCTTAGCTTAGAAGGTAGGAGAGGTTAGGATGGATGAGCGAAGGTGGGGCTCCAGGCTTGGATTTAATATATTTCTCGTCCTTATCTTGCCTTATCTTCCCTTAAAGGCGATTCACAGCGGCGAGGGAGCAAAAGGATGTTGGCCCAGTTTCGCCGCACCGCACCGCGCACCGTCTCGTAGATCTTATCGTTAATGCGGGACAAGATAGGCTCGGGGTGGAGGCTTCTGATTTGTTAGCCACGCGATAAGAATTTGTATCTACTTCTTGTCTTTATTTCATTCCTCTTTTAACGACATCCGCCACCGCCTATGGGCCTCTCGACCTCGGCCAATTGCTCGTTTCCTCCCACCTTTTACCTTTTAACGTTTTAACGTTATGTTCTCCTTTTCCCTTTCCGTCTATGCCCACCGATTACACAAAAATAGAATGCACGATGCAACGACTGCGAATTTATAACGATAATTAATAAGCGATAATTAAGATTCATTACTCACGATTCAGCTCCAGGCTAATCGAAGACTCCTTTGGCTCTATCAGGTCCGTGTTTCGTGCCTGACAGGTGAAATTCGATCCGAGATCGGATCGGGTGATCGGTTGCAAGTTTAACCTGAGAAAAATTAGAGAGGAATCGTGGTTACGATTATTTCTTTCTATTTAAAACACGACTCTTTCGGTCGAATAAAAAGTACAAACATCTCTTTACCTGTTCTCTATAACGTCGCCAGCGTTCTTCTCGTACTCTTCGTCCTTCACCTGATCATTGACTAACCATCGAACCATAGGCTCCGGTTTTCCTGCGAAACAAATCATAAGAGTTTCGTTTAATACGTATGCAGTTTGCAATTTTTCGAGAAAGTTCAGCACTCATTTTGGAAGAACTCGATCGAACGCGACGAGTCTTCCGGAAGATTTACTAACACATCCGGTCTCGGCCTCCAAAGCGGAGTAAATCGTGGCTCGTACGAAGCGTAACGACTCGTGGATAGTGGTCGAGAGAGAAGAGAAAGACTTTGAACGGTTCTTCCGGGGAAGCAAAGTGGAAACAGAAGCGGAGAGGAGTGTAAGGACGAGGCTCGCGAGTGGACAGGACGGCGAGGGGGGGTAGTATAAACACAAGAGGGTGGGACGAGCTTCGGCGAAGCTACTAAAGGCTAGATGAGTTCTCGAGAACTTTTAAATTAGCCGATACCCCAGAGTTTTGGATGCGGTGCTCCAGACAAAAACCGGCAGACTTTCTGGCTTCGGTTCGATGCCGGTCGCTTCGATAACCAAGCGTTATAGTCGCGAAGCTTCGTTCCTCCGGGAGGATCGATAAATATCAATTACAGGACGACGAACGAACGGAAGGACGGATCAAAGCGGCTGAAATATTAAAAACTCCGATACTACGACCGCACGATTTTTCTCCGTGATTTCTGAACGGCGCGAATACTGTCTGGAGATCGTACACTCATCGGGTATACTGTCCACTAATTCGTTTCTCTTTCTGTTTTCAATTTTCTTACAGTATCGAGACACATTATTAAAGTCTATCTTCGACGCTTCTGATTAAACTCGTATCGCTTTTTCGTTTCGTCGCGTATACTTTCACAACTTTTCGATCGTGCAAAAATCAAGCTACTTCCTTCCTGTCGTACATACATATGTATATCGCGTAAATATCGCGTGTACCTTCTACGTAATCGGTTCTCAAGTTCCGTCACGTAATCCGCCAATAAAAATTTGCCGCTACATACTTAATGACTCGCCGTTCCGTATTATTGACACTGAACGTGAGAAAACTCGTTAACGCGTGCGCATATTTCCGAAGTAAACTACGTATATAAACGATAGTTAGAAATAACGGGTAAATATTATGCACGCGTTCGTATAGCGTATAAAATCGTCGAATCGATTGCGTGTTAGCAGAGAATCTGAACGGTGCACTTGCCTCGAATGATAAATAAGGGTTTGGCCAGCTCGCCACGGGGTGGGTTAGGCCGGTGTAGGGTGGCTAGGCGATCTCTTTAACCGGTCGCCCTTTTCCGCGATCCTACGTGCTTCGCAGAAAGTAACGTTTATCGAAAAATAAATGGTTCGAAGAGGATATCGAAGGATATATCGTATCGAGTTCCATTCGACGGAACGCTTCGTGAATAGACTTCGTATTATATCACGGATTTACATATCTACCTCGAGCCGAATAATACTCGGCTCCGTGGCTAGATGCATATTTTCGTTGGAGAAAGCTGCCGGTTAAGGTGATAAAATGGCTCGAATGATATACCGTGGGTTATAAGAGTCGGCTAGCCGCTGGTAATGGGTGAGAAATCATAAAAAGCGCGAAAAAACCAATGCCACTTGGCTATTCCAAAGCAGGAACCTCTTCTTCCGAGGGTGTTTTAATTCGTTGATCAATAGAGATCGGACATGATTTAGCTATTAAATACTGGCTAGTAATTGGTATCGCGGATTCTGTTAAACATCTAACTAATATCGACGGTGTTCCGCGACACGAGTCACGAGACAATATCGGTCCAATTAACGTTTAGATCAGTTCGATGAAGTATGTACTCACCCATGGAGGTGAACGACCGAATTGTCTTTTAAGGACGAGCGATTCTTCCATGTTTCACCGATAACTCGATGCACGATCGAGATCTCTATTAAACGAGATATCGGATAATCCTTCGTTTTTTATCGCAATATTTGTTTCTCCGTATTGCGGCTGTTTTCATAAAAGCGAAGTAAATCCGACATTTGTAGAGAACGAGAAAAAGTTTTCCTACGGCGGCGGGCTAAGGTAGCATTGTACTTAAGAAAAAGTTCTTTCGTGTCAGAAAGTTCGAATGAAAATGTCAGCAACAGTTTGCAAAATTATTTGACAAAGCATTTACTCGAGTAGAAATTAAAAGGAGATGTACGCATGCATTAGAGTAATTTCATTGGAATAATTCTAGGTATAAATCGATCCAAGTTGATTATTTTGGAGAAACGGCGACGTAAAACGAAATCCTGTCCGTGATTTATAAGTAGGAGAGCGTAAAGGACATCGCAGAACTCGCGTTTGTCCTTTCATTGTTATTCACGATGGCGTACGATGCTGGAATCGCAATTTAATCAGGCTCGACGCAACATCGCCGCGACACTTGAAATTGCAAGCTTGATCTCCGATGGAAGCGCCCTTAGATTAGTTTCGAGTCGTTGTTATTCACGATGCTTCTCGATCTAGATTGCATTTTAACCGTCTCGTTCTCTCTCTCTGCTCGTTTTCCCGTTTGGCTCTTTTCTCGCGTTTCCTTGCTCACGCGGTAACGAGGAAAAATTTTGTCGGCGACGCTACCTAACCGATACGTGACGAATAATTGGAAAACCGTGGCCAGGATAATACGTTGAAGCGATGTAAGCGTAAACTGGTTGATTCGTGTCAGCCTCTTTCCGCGATTCGACCGTGAGCCCGTTTGCTCGAGTACTCGGAGGGTCGACCTTAGGACGAGGCGACGGTGGTTGGCGTGGTCGTGGAAAGGGAGGTCCGGGTTTAGCTTCGGTTTAGGTTAGGTCTGGGAATAGCTTCGCTACGCCCCTGGCGTTGACTTTAACTGTCCGATTATATTCGAACTCCCTTCCAAGCTCACCCTTTAAAACGACGACAACACCGTGCCGCTATCTGTTCGGTAGGGAGCTCTAAAGTACGGATTTTAATCCGCGGATACCGGACGATATCTTGCCGGATTAAGGTCGGTCCGTAGCTACTCGCCCACATCTAACAAGTTTACCAGCGGTTCGAACTCTACTTAAGGCAAATACCAGTCGCCTACCGCTCCAGATCCTTGCCAGATTTCCTCCTTCGACTCGGTGGCCCCTTTATTCGAGAGCTCCGGCCGATTCCGGGCTCTCTTCGTTTTGTCGGTAGCTTGATTCAGGACCTCTTGATTCAGGATTATCGGTTAAGCGTCGATAAGTCGACTTCTCGTTGCCTCCCTCTGCTCGACCAGACGCAACCTGTTTTCCTTTCCGATACAATTGCAACGGCGATTTCTGCTTTTCGATCGTTTACGCCGCGTTCGAACATTCGCTACCGATAACGCTTCGAGTTATTCGAAATCCTACAGTCAGCGCCTAGTTAACCCGCTTTCGAAACATCCCCTTAGCCCGCCTCGTTCTCCGATAATTTTTAATATCTTTTATGGCGGTGCGAGTTCCGGTTCCGCGCGGAGGATTGAAAAATAAACATTCCCTGCACTTGGCCAATACGCCAACGACAGATTGCGATCCCGAGACATTATATGCGTACACCCGGGGGAAATAGGCAAAGTGCATCGGGCTCGATGACGCGAAAGAAAAACCAACACGAAAGAAAGGAGAGAGACTGTACTCTTCGGTTCCATGGCTCTCTCCAGCCATCGGACAATTATTCGAGTAAACTGGCTCGTTGCGGTGTACTCGATGACCGACAACGATCAATTTTTTTTCTGCTTTCTATACGTGTCACCGTTTTTCGGAAGATGGTTTCTCTTCGCACCGTTCGCGGCCGATATTTTACCGATATCGCGCGTTACAAAAAAATAGAAGGAAAAAAAGAGAGAAACGAAGCAGAGAAAATACAAATTCGCTTAGGTAGATTTCGCGGCGTATGCGTTAGGGAGAAAGGGACGTTGAGCTTTCGCGATATACATAGATATCGTGCGAAAGAGAGGAAGATCTTTGCGCGATACGCGCGGTCAGAGATACGGGATGAAACGCTTCGCCTTTACGCGCGTGTACATCCTTGAGAGAGGAAGGACCCTCGATTCTTTCCGGGCACGAAGTCAAGTAATTGGCAATAAATTCAGCGAGCGAGGTTGAGTCGTAAAATTTTCTCGCTGCTATTGCCATAAATTATAGATAACACGGTGCGCCGTGGTGGGACTTAGGCTTAGTTGTAAATCGTGTATAACGGACGTTCGCGAAAGAAGATTTCAGCCGTGTGCTACCGAAACGTAAATTATAGACGAGGAAATTAACACGAAATAAAAAGGTTATACGTATACATACGATAGATGGACTTTAGCCGAAGCGGATCGTAGTAAGACGAATCGTTCGCACGGGAGATGATGGACGAGGGAACAGGAGAGGAGAAAGGTAATACGCGTGAAAGGCGGGAAAATCGTTTGGTCCGATGTATCGTAAACTGTATAACTACGGTACAAATATGGAGGTGGCCGACCACGAATTCAATACTCATCGTCGGTCCCAACGTTTCGATGAATACATCGAAATTCGAAGCGAGGAATATTGCCGTATGCAGATTCGATGGGAATTGCATCGAAGCTGCGCGCATCGATCATACGCACTGCGGCGTATAAATTGAATATCGAGAAGATCGGCTTATCCTTAACAATACGCTCGCGGAACCGCTGCAAACGATCCCCTACGAGCCGGTCTAGAATTTTCATTTAATTGTAAATCATCCCTTAAAGAGGGAAAAGAAGATTCTCTCGATCGTTTTTCCCGTTCTCCCCATTTTGCCTCCTACCGAGTTATTAATAACGTCGAATTTCAACTTTCCCGCTGCCGTAATTTACATAGTTACTTATCTCTGTGCTATACGCGGCGGTATTGCGCGAAAAATTGTAGCGTACGGCAAAGAAATACGCGAAGACATTTGTAGAGAAAATTTGAGGAACGGCAGGTATCTACTTGTCTCGAATCTTTCGCAATTTGCAGCGAGGTTTACTACGAGTTTCGCGATGCAACGATGCAATAAAAACGCGTGAAACGCGTTCACGCTTCGACGTTCATTTTCATTCGTCCAACCTAACCCGGGACGAGGAAGGGAGGAAAAGAGTGGGCGAGTGGACGAGGTTGTAGGGGATCGTTTGAAACGAAAAACTGAAGCGGACACGTCGCGTTAATTACACGAGACACGCGTTAATACGCGAGCTTTATCTTTCTCTCCGGGCTGTACGATAAATATTTCGCGGCGTTTTCGACGCCAGCAGCGATTAACTATAATTAACCGACACGAGCAACTCTCTCTGCTGGATGGGAATTTGCGCGTTGATCTCGAAGCACGAGCGGTTGAAAAAAGAAACAAATGTTTTTCAATTACAACGACTCGTTTTATCGAACCCCCCTGTTCGTGTTGCGCTTATTCTTCTCGCCGTTCGACTTTTTAATCGATTACACGGAAACACAGGATTTCTTCCAAACTAATATTCACCAGGAATCGAGTATGGAATTCTCGAGGACGAAATTTATTCGCGAGGATTCGAAATTCGAGTAGACAAGGGAAAGACGCGGAAGAGGAAGAACGCGGACAGGAGCGAGTGAAACGGGTGCAGGGGCTAGCAGAGGGGAGGAAATAATCTTTTAAGGCAGCCGAAGAAGTTTGCCGCAGTTATAAACAGAAATTTAGATCCAGTTGCCAAAGTAAACACCGGAACCTAGCTACTTTGGTAGCTCCTCCCCTACCGCTTCGCTCGAGAACGCTTGATCCTTCCTCATCCTTGGCCTACCTCTTCGACGAAGGACTTCCTCTTCCAGTCTCGCATCCTTACGAACGCGGAACTTTTCACTTAGCCTCGGTCGTCGATAAAAAGTTGCTCGATCTAATAATCGACGACACCGGTGCTTTGACTCGTTCGTCCCCGCCCCGAGAACGCTCTACGCCCTTTTCACGATCTCTCTCGATCGAACTATAATCAACGATTTCGTGGTCGAGCATGAACGGCATTGTAACGTAACCGTTTCAACGTTTCGATGGGTATGCAGCAATGCTTTTGTAGATCTTCGATTTCGAATAAGATTCACCGGGTAGAAAAAGAGAAAAGTTTGATCCCCTCGAGGTTGTCCCTGGTCAACGGGAGCCGTGTTTACCCGGACTAAAAATTTCGAAATCCTGGTGTATGGCGTTGTTAAAAAGTTGACGAAACTTTCGGGAAGTTACGAGCGTTTACCGAAATTTCGCGTATCTCGAGTTTTCGTCGGATTCGAGAGTTTTAGAAGGAAGGAAAGCTGTAGGGATTTTTTCGACGGCACCCAGCTACGGCTACAAACTTTCTAAAGCCAATGGACAAGAAGAACGTTTTCGTCGGAACGGTGCGTAGGAAGGATTCTTTTTAATGTTTTTTTTTCCGGGATTCAAGTTTCCTGCTAGACTTACCGCCGGTTACTCGACACGTCAGGGAAGGTGTGTCGCCCTCTTCGTAGGGACCCGCTGTTCCGTTCACTATCCTGCCCCATTGATCCAGAATAGTTGGCTGTTCCGGTGGCACTGGAAACCGAAAAGAAAATAGATCATCGTCTCGTCGAATAGATCGTTCCAAGCTATTTCGTAACTTTCGTATAGACAGAGTGGTACAACTAGAAAGCACGAACGAAGAAATTAGCATATGGCAACGATACGCGTACTATCTCGCGCAAAAAAGTAGGGACGATGAAGTATCGTAAAATGATTGGAAGTCAGTTCGGAGGGGTGTTCTTGGAACAAATTCGTTCGAAGCATGGACCGTGCGTGCAGTATCGACTACCGTGTAGGTACGATCGTTTGCGGATTAAAGCGGGATGATATTTTTTCCCTGGAATATTCGTTCCCGGACCGGAGTCGGATAAGCCAACCTGGATATTTCTCTCGGTTTTTTCGTTATTTTGGATTTTACCTGCATACGTCCAACCTACGTATTCGATGGTTTATCAGCGAGATTACGGCACCGCTGCGACCTACCGTTTTACTCTTCCTTCGGTTAGTTCGTTCTTTCCTTTTACCTATCGCTCATAGCCTTTTGGCGAACGCGCTTCGGCCAACTCTCGAAATACCCCGCGTAATTTTTCACCGTAAACTGAACAGAACGAATGGAAATTCGAGCATCTACTTTTGCGCGGATATTCTATTTTGAACGAGCCTGTATCTACGTCGGTTGTACACATCGCGCGATCGGAAAGCGGAGAAGATCGTTTACATTTTAAACGAACGCGTTTCCTTGCGACACAGTTTACGGACACGTCGTAATTGACACGAGGATCAAATTTTCACGCGAATATTATTTTTACTTCGCTCGAAGATCGTCCATGGATAGTGCCAAGCGAAAATACGGATCGAATATCGATATTTGAAATCGAGCGTTTCTCGTATTGTCGTTTGGATAGTTTTATTCTGGTCAACGTGTCGCCGAGAGTATAAAAATAAAAATAAAACGTTGAAATAGTTGGCGGATTTTTGTTACGGTATACGCGATGGATCCTAAGAGTCGAGATGACGACTCGAAACGAATACGAGAATAGTTGGTTATTCGTAGGTTATTCGGAAAAAAATCTACGTTCAACGATCAAGCTTGGTCGTAAACTGTAGCAAATCCAAAATAATGCTACGATTCTCGGCGAACGGTCGGCAGAAATACGCGTACATTCGACTAAGCTCCGTCCATTCGTCCCGTATCGAACTGGCTGGCAAGAAAAAACGATAGGATTTTTGAAAGTTGCTCCGAACGTACAATAATTTCTTTCGTTTTTTCTTTTAGAGGAAGGAGAAAGAATTCCGATCGGGCGACTATTAATCAATTTTCGGATCGACCGGTTCGAATCGAAGAGATATCCAGAAACGAGTAGAACACGCTTCGAAGCGCACGATCGTAGGCGGTGGAATAAGGGTTGCTGGCGCGTTCTCGATAAAACGGTTGACTTTCAATGCCGATACAGAGGATATATCGAAGCCCTCGCGGGACTACGTTGCAGAGTAGTAGGGGGTCGGGCTCGAGTGGCGCGGAGAGCGAAGGGTAGATGGAGGTTGTAATGGCAATTACCAGTGGTAATCAATGGACCTCGCTCAGACCGCGCCGATAATTTCAGGGCTGGCTGGAAAATAGGCGGCCCTATGTAACGCATACATTCCAACTTGCCTAACGTTACTCGCCTATCTACCGCCACCAATACCAACCACTACCACTCGATTTCTCTCTGGGTTGCACTGCCTTTCGAGCCATTTAGTCACGAACGGTACGATCTCTTTGACCGTTGCTCGATATTTTTTTTTTCTCCAATTATTTCTCGAATATACACCGAGTTATTGTGGAAAGACTGAAAACGATGTTCAGGAACAACTACATCGAGCAAAAGTTCGGTAACAAACGTGTCTCTGCTCGAGTAAGTCGAACGTTCGTCCGATGAAAAGAACGTAAAACCGTGACGCGTTATCGCTTTTAAATCTTAGTAATTGCACCGTGTCGTCGCGTCGGGTTTTTCGATGAAATGTTCGAAAAGCGAAACAAGCATAGCTGATTTCTGAGCGTCTCTCGTCGTTCGCATCCTCTCTGGTAATTCGAGTTTGGCTCGAGAGATCCGTGGTGAAGTTCTTCAGGAAGTAACGCGACGGGACTTGGAATAATTCGCGTAGTTAGCGACCAGCAATTTATCAGGCGGCGCTCGCGAGCGCTCGTTCGCAAGCCCGTTGTTGTCTGTATACTATGTGGTTCAACAAGCCGAAAGGAAATCGTACGATTCGTCGACGACGTTAAGATGATCAAGCATTCGGCTATTCGTCGACCCATCGTTAGCAGGAAATAGGAAATAAGGAGGCGATGGAAAGAAGGAGGAGGAGGTTGCGAGCGACGAATCGTTCGGTGCATCGGTTACTCCGAGTGTACGCGGGTAGCCAAAAACGAGCGGTAATCACGTTAGTTCCCCGCTAGAAGACCCGTGAGACCCTGAACGAGCATTGCCACCTGTTTGGCCGTACTCGCAGTCGGCTCCCTAAGCTGTAACCGGTGCCACAACCAGTTCCGCTCTCGAATACGAATGTAATTAGTGGGAAATTGAACGAGGGCTGCCAGTCCTGGCATGGTTAAATGAATGTCCTGAAGATTAATGGTCGACGTTGATCGCTGCGAATCGATCGCGTGATTTCTTTATTTTATCCACGGCTCTCTAATTGAGCGAAAGGTGATTCTCCAACGGAGAAACACGATCATCGTTGGCCAGATTTACGACGCGCGATTAAACCTTCGATCGGTACAATCGAGAAGTAACTACCGGATTCGGTTGTACAGGCAGACTCTCTACGAGTTTAAGGAACCAGCATCGCCATTTTCCCTAAGTTCGACAACGTGTTCACCTCTCTGCACCCGAATGAAACTTTTCTTTTTTCTTACTTTTCTTGTCTCTTTCGCGTCATAACGCGAAAACATTCGACGAGAACGGTTACTGCAGGATGTTCGATAAATCGAAGCACAACGTATACGATGCAGATCGTATCGAACAAAGTCTAGCCGCAACTCGTGATTCAATAATGCGGAATTTGCGGTTCGTTCTTGTGTCGGTTAGAGAGAAAGGTGTTCCAGAACGAAGTAAGTAGGTAAGTAAGTGAGTGAGTGAGTAAGTAAGCAAGTAAGGAAGGAAGGAAGAAAGGAAGGAAGGAAGGAAGGAAGGAAGGAAGGAAGGAAGGAATGTCGAAGCGAGGTGAGGCGAGGCTCGCGCAAAGATTCGTACGTGTTCGGCTGGTGAATATGTGCTGCATCGTCGTGGCGTAATATTTCGCAAATATTGACATAGAAATCGGCTCTTCCATGTTCCGCCCCCGTTCTGGCCTCGTTTCAGCCCCTGGTACGCGGCGATCTGGCTGCAGACACCTAAATTGGCTCGATACATCCGACGAACGTGGAGCGAGTACATAACTCAATAAGTACACAAAATTTTCTTCGCTGTATACCACCACCGACACGAATATTTCCTCGGGAATACCCTCTGCCAGACGTACGGCAGCGAATCTCGTTCGAAACTATTTCATCCTCTGATTTTCTCCTTTTGCACGATCTCTTCCGACGACCGTGTCACGATTATCCGTAACCGAGATATGCTTTTTCGTCGCTAACGAGCTATCTTAGAGCCGACTATTTTAACTCGCTACGTGTTCGGTTATAGGACAGTATGTAGTTAACGCGTACGGAACACTAGAGATAATTAGAAATCGAAGAAAGCTCGGCAGATAGGAAAATACGTGGTCGTTAGATTCTTATACTAAATAGTAGACGAATGGTGTTTCTCGTTTCTCGAACGAACACAAAGGAATCGTCTCCGCGTTTCATAAGACGAAGATAGTTACGCGTTAGCCTTTGTTCAGTTCCTGACGAGCTGCAACAAGATTCTGTAGCAATTTGTGATCTTCCAATGAACTTTGCAATTCGTGACCCACGGTACGGCGATCAAAAGAAAACACTCGAATGTCTGACACGCGCTCGAACGTACCTTCGAGTTACGCTACAAGAGAATCAAAGTCCAACGCGGATGAAACGTTCACGAACTGCACAGTTTAATAAGATTCGCCCGTCAACGTTTCAAAGTACGAATACCTTCGGATATAAAGTTCAAGTTGCCCTTTCAACGAACTTCCAGTAACGCTCTTATCCAACGTCCAACACTTTCCCCGTTCAATCATACCTTTCTTCCTAAATTTCATCATCGAAATCGAGTTTCCTGTACTGCACGATTCCGATCTTTCGTTCGCTTGTCGCGTTAAAATATTAATACTAGAGCCTCGAGAAATTATAATTATCATTATAATAAAATGGTATGGTTGAACCTAGTACGAGACGATTAACGAAATTTCAAATTTGTCACTTCGAACGAAGAAAATAATAAAAAATGAGCTCGTGACTCGGTTATAACGAATAAGGCAGTAATTTCCAGGAAATATTAGAATCCGTTCGAGAGCGGCAGTTTGTCGGAATATTACGATCGTTTTGCAGCAGTTCGCGTTCGCGGTACTTCTCCGGGACGCAATATATCTTCGATTCTACTAATACGTCTGACCTAACAAGTTTCTTACCGAGAAACTGCTTGGCCATTCTTCCTCTCGTAGGTTTCGAGGTCGGAGCGCGTGTCCAAGTTCCCGATCGGGCCAGTGGTTTTCAATAGCGTTTTCGATTCGCGGGGAAAAGCACAGAGGCACGAAACATTGGATCCCGCGGATCGCGTCGTACCGGCATGACGAGAAAAAGGAACGGAGAAACGTCGAACCGCGTTTATCGCGAAATGGACGGAGAACGGACGGTTACCTCGAACGGGACATCGATCGTCGAGAGCATGGCAGAATTATTTCTCTTCGAGACAATCTTCCATTTCCGGGAGGAGACGTACTCGTCGAAATAAAGTGGCCGAGTGTTCATGGTGAAATCCATAAAGGGAAACGGAAACGAGAACATAGAAACCGGATAGAGTTTGAATCAATGTATCGAACGAGCTTCTCTGTCGTTTACATCGAATAATAAATGTTTTTTTCCTCCA